TGTTTGCGTTTCTCTCTTAATTTATTTTTTATTTAAATCACCGCGCGTTCCGCGATTTAATTTCATGTTGTCCTTGTCCTCTAACCGAGGGTGGGGAAAAAGACTCGATGAGGGGGAGAAGAGTCTACATTCAATTTTAAAAGTGTGTGTATGTGAAAGAGCTTTGACCAAGACAGTACGCAACTATACGCAACTGAGATCTCAAATTTGGACTAATGGTACATATAAGTGATACACAAAATTGATGCAAGGGTGCTAGTTCCTGCTGCAAGCGAGTGAGCCGACGTAGTGAAACTCTCAAAGGTAAGGGCAACAAAGTCGCCGCAAAACTCTTAGTACATTCTTTTTCAAACATCTTTTCCCTAGCATATTCAATACTCGAGAAATACAACGAAAACGAAAATTACCGAATATTTCCAGAGATACTCCTCTCTGGCTCAACTGACCAATCAACGGATATCAACGAATTTAGTTTGATTACGGTAATCAAGATAACTCCGATTGGTCACTTATAGTCACTATCACTAACACTCTTTCATCACTAAACCATTGTGGATGTCCTATTAGGCGGCATTTACGGGATACTGAAATAAAAATATTAAATACAACTATTTTGCAAAAAAAATTGCAACATAATCTTTGTTTGGAATGTTTTTTTTTAAATAAACGTTTGTGTGCGATATATTCCCTGTAGGTTGCTGCTGCAACAAATCGAATTCTAATCAAGTAAGTTATTGGAAGGGACATATTATCTACTTTGCGGAATCGAAAATTGGCATTATAATTTACGTTATTGAAGTCCATCGATTCGTTGATGAAATTACATTTAATAAACGATAGTGAGGTTATGTTTAAGATCATCACGTTACGAAATTCAAAATTCAACACGAAAATGTAATATTGCAGTAACTATAGTGTGTACATACCTTTTTGTAATAGGTTATAACTTTTGTTTCTATATGACACTGACGTTCTTATTTAACGTTACATTACAGAACGTAAAAATAACACAAATTCCCACTTCACGATGAATATTATTACACAAGCGAAGCACATCTTTAAAAAAACCTTCTACTCCAATAACCAATGAGCATGCTAAATCCTTCAGTGTTATTATTTTTTTATCATCTGTTAGAATTCTGTGACATAATTTTGCCTTAGATTAGATGTCGTTGTTACTGCTGTTATTGATCTTGCTGCTGCTGCCGCTTCTGTTGTTGCTGTCGTTGTTGTTGCCGTAGTAGTGGTAGCAGTAGTAGCAGTTATCAGTAGTTGTTGTAGCTACCGCTGCTGTTGTCGTTGTTATTAATGCTATTGATCTACAACAGCCACAACGACAACAACAACATATGTCATGAAAACGCACCGTGTTTGAAAAAAAGCACAATTAATTGTCCGAATGGCATCCAGCACCTACTCCGCAATAAACAGGGTGTTCAAAAATGGATAAGCCATATTTTAAAGTTGTTTACCTGGGACAGAAAAAAAATTGAAGTTATCTTCGGCAAATTTCTATGCGTTATGTTGTTTTTCGGAAAAAATACGGCAAAAATTCGAGTTTAAAAAATTATCTTTGACACCCTGCATCTCAAAAACAAAATATTTACTATGATTCCATGATCATTAGGAAAAAATTATATTTTCTATCAGTTGCCGAGTTTGTGAGACCTTTCCAAAAAACTTTATACGTTTATTTTGACATCATACTCTGTACTCCCTTTTCCATTTGTTTTGTGCGGTGTTCCTTCTTCACTTAAATGAACGTTTTCTTGAAGAAAAAAATATTACTTAGTTTAAGATTATGATAAACGAAGAAATGAAACAATCAACATTTAATATATTTATTTATAATAATAAAGACCTGAAAAATGTAATATAGGTAGCTTTAAAAACATTCGTAAACTTGATTAATTTAATAATCTATATAACTTATGCATATAAAATCAATCTATAAATATAAATTCAAATGTATTGTAACTATTTTACCTGCTCCATTTATCAATACAAGTTTCACAACCAATCCAATTTTATAAACATTGATCCGTTTCAACTAGTTCTAGGTAAGTACACTTCTTTTAAATATGACAATACAGTTTTATAATTACAAATAATTTACATTTCTTTACATCCCAAACAAACAGAGAAATCTTGGGAAAAGTATAAACAATTAGTAATACAGTTGTCAGGTATAGTACAGGTACATCATAATCAATAAAAATTATGCGATATTAGCAACGACAAAAAACTTATTGGTACAGTTAATGAAGTAATAGGTAACTGATCAGATGAGTTACAGGCGTCGGCGTCGTTACATGTTTGAACACAACCACGAACATACCTACAAAAAAATGCTCTACTATTGTTGCACGGTGATGGCAGGATAATAATAAAAATAACATATAGCTTTGTTCCTAGAACATTCCAAACCAGTTTGCAACAGTCAGAAACAAGCGCATTACGATATAATGTTTACAAAGGTTCAAAATTCATTGTTTCCAATCAAACACTTACTGTTGGCAGCTGTTTGTAATGCACTAGGAACGAGCTAACAATACTGCTCTCTTTCCGGCGTATTTATGGCATTCCAGTTCATACCTGTTATCATAATAAAACCTGCCACAATGTGACATCCTCACCAACTCAGTATCGGTAGTTAAAGTTCCACTGTCTAATGCACATCCTCTCACCACTATATAATCACCAGTATCATCTAAAAAAATAGTTTTACCATAGATTTAGGTCTTAACTATACTAACTGGCATACCAGTTGCCACTCATAAATTGTCTTGTTGCCTTGAGGAATTTTATTGCGAATAATTTATTGAATAATTAATTTTGTAATCCATATATTCAAAAGTTTGAAAAATTTGCCGTGCTTACAAATAATATGCCATTGATTTACTCAGCGGAGTAACGTAAGGAATATTCTTGAGCTCTTAGTTAGATATAATGATAAAAATATGTTATAAATGTTTACAAGCCACTAACCAGTAATTTTTTTTGGAACAATAATTTTATGTCCTTCATGTTGGCCAATAAATTTCGTTAAAATTAAAAATTATTAAAATAGTAAGATCAACGTTGAATTAAAATACAACGTCCTGTTTCAACAGCTCTGATTGGCGTAATTTTTCACGAGATACTATTCAACAAATCTGCGGATCGCATTATTCCGAGCGTAGAAATAACGGTTTGTCATTAGTCATTGTAAACGAGTCACTAATATTGGTGACGTCAAGATCTAGGGAATTTTCGTTACCAGCCGTGCAATGTTGGGTTTCCTAAGCTCAACTGCCACGTAGCTTGTAAACATTTATGGCTCTGTAGTACTTATAACATTGAGGAAAATATCTTCTAGCATCAAGTAAAAATTGATTAACACTAACAAAGCATTTGCATTAAATAAAGCTTCAGGGATGTTAGGCTGCTGTTATAATAAAAAATATTTTGCTAAAGGAACCTATCAGTGGTTAAAACATTCTATTTATTGTTGCAATCCTCTCTTATTATTACGATGTACATTTTTTGCGCTAACATAAGTTTTTATCGAGGTTGTCAGGTTTCCATCTTAGGATGACGAGTTTTATGGAAATACCAGCAACCATCTTTTTTTAATTCAAATGAGAGACTTTTTACCATAACTATGTGCTATATTCAATTATTAACTTTGTCTTTAAACCTTCTCTTTATGTTTAAAAAGTTGCAAGTAGAAAACAAGATATCTATAATAGGACAGTCCCACTATCCTTTGCTTTATGATTTAAACTTTTTAAATATAACACAACAGTTAAGCCAAAGTTGAAAACTTACAATAAACACTATATGCACTGGCACATATATAGTCCTTCATATGCATCTTCTAATCTTTTACATACTTTTTTTTATTTGCATAATGTATAAGTAACAGTCAAAGTTTTATTGGTTATTATTATATTTGCTTTGTTCGTCCACAGGTAAATTGTTTTTAACCGTTAATAGATAGGCTTGAACCAAAAGTCAATTAGCAGATGCAATAAGTCTTTAGTGGAAGAAAAACCCTAAGGAGGTGCACTCTTGTTTTAATAAAGCATCGACGATAGTGCACTCGTATAAGAAAAATTGATTATCTCGCAAAACTCGTTTTATTCAAATATGTACTGTGAAAAATACACTTTTGCAATGGATGAGCCTTGAAAATGAAAAAAATCTACACCGGCCCCACATGACTGACAATGAGACTTACCAAAAACTCCATTGATTTTGACACAGGAAGTTGCAGGAAACAGGCCGTCTCTGCCCTTTCGGCCTGCCATACACGGTGACTGGAACACGTCCAGCGTGTAGTTATTATGAAATGGATCCTCACATGGTGGATAATCCTTATTTATTGAAACGCATTTGAAGCAATCAATCGCGAGCGCTAAAATATAACACATATACCCCATATTTGTATATTTCACGATTACTCACCTCGCGGGAAAAAATTAAATGCGATAAAAAACCAAAAACTGACTTCAGCGATCATGCTTTTGAGTCGATACTTTCACTTGTTCCATAAATTGTTGATAAGTTCAAGATCAATTTCTTTGCCAGGGGTGCAGTTAACGAGACTAAATTATTAAATAGGTTTCCTGAAATAATCAATATTTTTCCCCTGCGATGAAGAACGCCGTCCTACGGTTTCGCGCAACGATGGTTGCATAGTCTTGAAACAAATTGAAGGCGACGCTGTGGTGTATCAATATTTGTTCATAGGTGGAGACGGAGGGGGGAGGGGTATATTTAAAAAAAATACGGATTTTTATAGATTTCATGTATTTATTATTTTGAAATATATTAAACAAAAAACAAAAATGCTGAAAATATGCTGAGTTTGTAAATATTTCAATGCAAACGAATACTTCAAAATTAATCATTTTTTTATTCATATCTTTTTAAACATAATGTAAAAATATATGAAAAAAATTCACATAGCACAGCAATAGTTTAATAAATTAAGATTATCACAGACTTAATTGTATGTACAATATTGTGTAAGCTGATTATGGTATTCGTTATTTCTACTACAGAAAAAATGTGCTATATTTCTATTTGTAGGATTATATGCTAGCAGCCGGGAAATGCTGACTGTAACACTACCAATTTTAATGTAACTCCTTCTTCTATAAGGCAACAATGCTTAGTGTTATGAGCTTTTTTAGTTATCTACCATAGCACTTCAATACAAAAACATTTATACTGAAATATACACATTTACAAATATACACAGTAAACATATACTCCTCACCAAAATTAATCATAATTCATTCACAAAAATAATGTAACACTATTGCCCTCACTATGCATGCCCATACAATAAAAAATTAATTGCTAATAATATATACATTAATCATGCAAAAAAAGAGACTGAAAATATATGTGCTGTTTTTGAAGACGAGTATTTTGGTGTAGCATGGAAGACCATTGTTAAGAAGTGCTGTTTTTATGGTGAACCTTTTTATGATACCCTAATCCACCCGTAGTAGTAAATCCTTTACCACATATGTCACAGCAGTATGGTTTTTCACCAGTATGCGTTCGTATGTGTATCTGTAATAATCGAACAAAAGAAATATGTAAATTCAAATTTTTTGTTGCATATGTGATCTTTTAAGATAGTTGCAATTGTTTGTTCTATTATTATTATTTCATGGATTCAATAAAGTTACAAAGAAAAACAAATTAGTTATAATATACTTCGGAGAACGGCCAATACATTTTAGTATTCCTTTTTATGTAGTTTAAAAATAGCATTAATAGAAACCCGGATATCAATAAATAATAAATTACTTACTGTTAAGTGTATGTTCTTCGAAAACTTTTTCCCACAAGTGGAACATACAAACGGTCTTTCCCCAGTATGTTTCCTCATATGCAGTTTGAGATAACGGGGATACACGAAGGTCATTTTACATATATCACAGACATGTTTTTTCTCGTTACTGTGACTACTTAACATATGTGTCCTTAAATTACTACTTGTCGTGTAAGATTTCCCGCATTTACTACAGATATATGGCCTATCTCCTAAAATAGCGAAATATGCAAATGTACTAATAAAATAATATGCACCTTTACCTGAATGTGTGTGTTCGTGCATCTTTAAATTAAAGTTTTTTGAAAATGTCTTATGGCAAATCTGGCACTGAAACGGTTTATCTGGTGTATGTGTCAGGATATGTTCTTCTATACGATACCCACGGGGAAACATTTTGCCACAAAAATTGCATAACGCTTCATTATCTTTACTTAGTTTAAGTTTCTCATTGTCAGTTTCACTGCTATTACTTTCTAATTGATCTTGAGATAGCTTGCACTGATTTTTGTGGTTAATTTTATCAGTTTCGGGAACATATTCATTACAAATAATGCAATATTCCACACTCTGTTCTTCAAGAGTGTTCAAACTGTTAATATTGTCAGAAACTTCTTGGTTATATAGTACCGTTTTGTTTAATACTGAAAACTTCGTTTTAGTTAAGTAGCAACCCCACAACAATATATTACAGTAATCTAATCGTTTTAAATAATTTATCTTATATCAATTACCTCTTGCATTAGATTTGTCTCGACACATACTGCAATATATTACATTGCCTTCTAACTCATTATCTATTAGTTTTAAACACTCTGAAGTGTTCCCGGCTTCAACAAAATTTCTGCACATATTTTTGTCGTGTAGTAAATACACCAAAGAGGATAATTCCGAAAGGTTTGTAATATCCAAAATTAGATTAGGCACATGAGCTACAAAGCCATTAAGAAATATTTTTGCTTTGACACCGCATTCCTCTTCGGCCAGTAGAACACCTTTGTCCATCACTAAATTTGAATTAGTGATGTTAATATGAAGAATCCCGATAAATTCATACTGCGGATGGATGTGAATGCCCCACATCGTTGAAGGTAAATTTAAAAGGGTTAATTCTTTTGCCAAGTTTTCCATTTATCCTTTAATTAAAAACAATAAACTAACTTTAAAAACATTAAACATAACCTATATATGTGCCGGCACTGCCGGCAGCAACCATAGACCTACACCTAAACAGATTACGAAATATTGTTTCCGTAATTTGTGGTTTGTGAGTAGCCATGAACTACTGATTTTTTACGATGGATAAGCAGAAACCTGCAATACCACGAGGCTTACCGCAACATCCAACTTCGAAATTTGAAAAATTAGCGTCAAATATTTGATTGGCGTAATTTAAGACCAGGGAAAGTTAAGGAATGAATTCTAAATTTATTAGCATTTTATTTTATTCAAATTGAATAATGATGATCTAATCTGATCTCTAATAATTTATTAGAAATCAGATTCTCAACTACCTAAATACATTATAGATTTTTATACTTATTCATACTTATGTAGGTACCCCTTAACAAAAGTTTGCATTGTTATTCATTCTTTCTAGTTTTTTTCTTATTGAAAAATATTTTTCCAATTCTATATACATAGTTTTATAATGTTGAACAAATAAAATTAATTTGTGTTGTCCGACTATTAACTCCGGAAGTGATAGTATATACTAAATAAAATGCATTAAAAATTTAATTAGTTCAGTTACCTACCTATCATTAACATATCATATTATACGTATTACTATCTACCATTTTAGATAAATCATTAAAATATACCTACTTTCAATTTAAGAGTTTTCATTTTTATATGTCTTAGAGGTAAACTTCAAGAAATTTTAAAACGTACTATACAGGATGTTGCCGTTATGACGAAGCAAACTTTAAATATGATAAATATTCAAAAAAATTGTGATTTTTCTTAAAAAAAAAAACAATATCGACAATATTGTATAATAATGATCCAAGTATTTTTTTGTAACATCTTTCTTATACATAAGGCTGTTTTAACCAAGTTTAATATGGTTTTTATCACATGGGTATATTATATGTTGTTACTTTAGTATCTTTTTTATAATTACAACAAATGGTGTGATGTTCTTTACCTCAACCTTTACGTCATTGGTATAATCATATTTTACGCCCTAATTTTAGGAAATTTACAGTCGTCTGTGCATTGTTAGGGACCTAAAAAAAGGCTCGTTTTTTGAATAATATCGAAGAATGTGGATAAATATTAGATATCTGCTTTTACATATCTGGAGTTGATATGAAAAAACATCACGCTTCGTTGATAAGATTTTTAGGATTTTTTAAAAATGCATGTGGCTTCAAGTAAAAATTGTTCTCTAAACACTAAAATTCTCTTCTTTTAGTGGACCGGCAATTTCTCACTTTAACCACATTACTTTTTTACAACTGACCTTAAAACATCACATGAATACTTACCAAGAAAAAAATGAAAGATATTAATAGCGTTGTGTACGTAAACACTGATACAAGCGAGCGTAACGAATCTCTTTCCTAATTAAAAATACTAGAGTATAATGGCTTACCTCAAAACAATTTGGTTCAAGGAACGTTAAGTGGAGCGTATTTTGTGACTTTGAGTGGTGGATACCTAAGGGGATAGTCTCTAACAGAGAAAGAAAGACTTTCGCCCAATGTCAGAGATATGAACTCCCTCTCATTCGCGGATGGTACAGAGTATAAAAGCAGTAGGAAGGATGCAACGGGCAGTAGAACTCTTCTGTGTCTTCAGCATTTAATAAGTTTTTGTCCATCATGATTAAGGTGAGTTACCAAGAAGTAGATCTGGATTAAGCAATTAGAAGTAGATTTAGCTGCTGGCTAGTGGTAATAAATATATACATTTTGGTTTTTTTTAATAACTGATTCAAAGTTCTTTAATGTGAGTTTTCTATTAATATAACGTTAGCAAAATAATTAGCAACATTATCGTCAGTTGCAATCTAGTCTTTAATTATTTTTAATTGGTACTTTTTATATTAAAATGTGCTTTAGTTCACCGTTAATTGACGAAATAATTACAGGTGAATATTTTAAAATTAATTGGCAACATATGTATGTTGAAAACTAATGAGTAGATTTGCTTCTTGTAGCAGAGAAAGTATATCTAGATATCTATCATTCTAGTTGTTCATTGAACATTGGTGCACAGATGTTTATATTTTATCTGTCTACATAATAATTTTAGGCAAAATTATATTCTACATATGTCTACTTCTTCACAATTAAATTTGAAAATGAAAAAAAATCCCAATTACTATACTTCCTAATTTAATTTACATTTAATATTTTTTCGGCGGTAGAAAAATATTCTACACCTACAACTTGTGTCTAAATGAAAACTCGTTTGTGACAAAAACTATTTTAAACTATTTTTCCTATATATAACCATTTTTTTAGTACGGAAATTAATATTTACGTTTTCTTTTTAGTATCTACTTCTAACCTCTGTGGTGGCTGTTCTGGTGAGAAGCGAACCAACAATAGTTGCTTCTGGTAAGTAAAATTATATCGAAAATTTATCATATTTCTACTGAGAATTATCGAGAACATAATTTATGCCAATTATGAGAGTGAAAACAACCCTAACAATATTTTTTTATTCTCAACCTAGTGCAATGCAACAAGAAACGCCCTGTATGATCTAATTACCCATATTTAGTAGTTTAAATAACGTTCCGACTGAATTTTTGCATTTATATCTACAAGGCTGTAAAATATTGATTTATTTAACCATTACTCAAAATACAAAATGTGATCATCTTAAAAAAAAAACGGATAAAGTAGTAAATACATTCTGCACCACTATTTATGTCGAAGAACATGCTGATATGCAGAAAAATGAAAATTGGTTTAGTCTGAAATCCGAAGTCACTGTAATTAATAATTTCGAGAAATGTAAATTCACTTGAACATTCCAATTTTAAGATTTATGACGGAAAGTTCAGTTATGTTACATGGAACTAAATGATTTTTTATTTTCTAAAACATAAAAAGTAAGCTAAAGTAAAATGTTTATATTTTAGTCATCTTTTGAATTGTCATATAAAGGTAATTTAAATAAGTAAAATATTCGTTGAAATCATTACTTCGGGGAGAAATGCTACAATTCTTAAAGTATCTACTTTTTGAGAAAAGTTGTTTTATTAAGCGAAAAGCTGTTAAGAGGCTTAACCCTTGTGTATTATTTACTTAAATAATAAAACTATCCAAACTTCTTAAAAACGCCAAAATCATACAATTTTCCAACTTAATTGGAATATTTGAAATATTTTAGCGTTTTTAATTACTGATGTTGAACTTGCAGTTATTCCAAGAAAATAAATATGCAGCACTTTCACTTCAACATTCTATATTTTAAGATTTATAATGAAAGTTGGAAATTCCCAGTGGATGTTTTTTTGGATAGAAAAAAAATGGTTACTTAATTAATACTTTAAAGCAAACAGACCGAAATGCAATCTAGGAGAAACTAATGCTATTTTGTCTACTTTTTATCGGCCTGATATTTTTCTATGCTTTCTACGTTCGATTTCGTAAAACTCAAAAAGTAAACAAATTGAATGTTTTTTTTGTTTTGCTAATTCAAATTAATTCTCATTAAACGAAGTTAATTAGGAATTCAATTTCATACCAAATATCCCAATGATGAAACAATAATAATTGAATATTGATCAATTTTACCGTTTTTTTAATTTCCTCGTAACTGTAAGAATAGAAAAAAATAATATTGCATGGTTCATATTTCCTTAAATAATTTTAGTTTCCAAAATCTGTCATTTTATCACTGTAAATATAAATATACCTATTTTCCACATCAAGTAAAATTAAATTAGTATTTATTTACACATTTTTTACTTATTCATCTTATTAACTTATGCCTAAAATGAAAACCTATACGTTTGTTCCCATCTGCAATGTTAATAAAAAAGACCATATGAACAATGTAGACAAATCTCACCAAAATTACACAACTGACAATCTCTCAGCATCAACTTCAATGTCCTCGTGAAAGTAACCAGATTTTTATCATTAATTACAGTCTTGATGAAAAAGACACGCTTAATAACCGAAAAAAGTGGACGCTAGAAAGTGCCGGTTTCCATCTCACAAAAAATACTATATTTTACTTTTGGGTGCGACGAACCGTTTTCGATTCTACAATATTACTTTTACTTATCGTCACCTTTGCTCCAATTAATCTCAGATGAAGCCCATTCACTTTCCAACAGACTGTTCTTTCTTTGATCAATGAGAGAATGCAGCCACTTTCAAATCTCCACGTAGATGTTCCAGTTATGTACAATTTTGTATAATTAATATTAGTTTTTTATTTAAAACGTTCTTTCTTTGGAACCGTAAACAATAGATTGGCAAATAACATATGATCTGTAATCGAATACTTTATTATTTATTTCAAATGTATAAGTATTTCTATTTGTTTAGATGTAGAGGGGTGTATAATATTTTATACAGGGTGTTCCGATATTGACTTATATGACATAGGAGGTTATAGCGCTTTAAATATGAGCCCGTAAGTTTTTTTTCAGATATCTCATTAAAACCAAAATTTGAAAATGGAAATAAATTTTGGAATTTAATGTTAGAAAATTATTTAATAAATTTTAGTCAAGAACTGTAGAAACTGATGGGGTTACCATTGTATGTGTAATTTTCTATTTGAATTGAAGGTAAACCATGATATATAAAAGTTATTTAGAAGTGTTGTGGAAAATTTATTGTAACAACGAAAAGAGAACAATATTGAAAAAATAACAATACATAAAATACCTGGAAAATAACTATTTATAGAAATAAAATTAAGGAAAATGAGTACAACAAGAAATATTGTCGATTTTGAAATAGCTTCTTTGTTTTGCTAAAATTTGATTCGTTGACTTAGCTTTATAGGACAAAAAGTTCCATTTCAAAACTATGACAAATATCAGTCCATATGCATAGAATAGGGGTATTTTTATAATCGAATATTTCAAACTACGCCCATGGAAAGGGTTGTAAGAATATAATTTAGAATAGACTTAGATTTACTACATAAAAGGTAGTATTGGTTACGCAATTACTCACACTGTTTTTGCGTAATTTGGAGATTTTTAAGAAAAACTGAAAATCATTAAAATTGTTTGTGGAATCATGTCTCCATGGTAATGTAGATAGGCCTACATTTGAAGATAAAAGAAGGCGTTTCTTTCGGTAGAATCACCTGTTGTTTCTATGGGTTACTTAGCTATTTTGTTAAGACAATTACTGTGTTTTTTATATTATTGGTGAAATTTTATTGGAAGTGAAAGTTTTTACGACACAATCACAATGACAATCAGATTAATTCGTTATGCACCAAAAAATAATTAAATATTTTGTAAATACCAATGTTGATTTAATTGACAATTATTGGAAATAATGCAATACAAACACAATAATTAACATCGGTAGTAACTACTATACTAAATTTCAATATAATTCAATGTGTATTCAAGTATATTTAGGTTTGACTTTATTTCATTGTTTGAGGTACTAATTAATTGTTAAAATAGTAATTATGGCATAATATGGCAAAGTTATCTAAAAATTCAATATCCCACCTTCTTTTTAAAATAGCAATTACTGGGCCAAATAATAGCACTATTGGCAGAAGTGAAAATGCATTTCAGCATTTCATTCATTTTTTTTTCTTTGTTAGAAAACATGTTCCGCAAATTGTTACTTTCCTTTTCTCCATTTTTTCACAACTATAAGCGTGTTTCACATTTCCTTTCCTTACTTACAGGCCTTAGCAGTCTAGGCCTTAGCGGCGGTGGCGGCTGGCAAAACGGCGGAGGCGGTTGGCAAAGCGGCGGTGGAGGAGGGTATGGTGGCGACTTCGGGGGTGGACAAGCCACTATAAACTTCGAAACCTTAAGCGGCAACCACGACTTCCAATCTGCTGCTATCTCCGGCGGTGGACACGAAGGCGGCGGCGGTGGAGGCGGTTCCATCGGCGGCGACTTTCACCACGGGGTGAGCATTGTCGGAGGCGGTGGCAGCGATAAGGGAAAAATCATCGATCTTACCGGACAGACAGGTTAGTATCTAGGTTAACCTTTTAAAACTTTGAATTTTCTCTTATATTAGATAACGGACTCTAGCTAGACTTTACATGAGCTACAGTTTTATCTTTCTTTCCATATTACTCAGTTAGTAGGCCTACTGTTATACTTATCGTCCTGCTATTCTTTCGACGATCATTTTAATACTTTCTTGGCTTTCTCTGTCAAGGAATTTGTTGCCATCATTTTCAGATCTTATCTTTTACTCATTCCTGCTATGGCGTCTTAGTAACGCAGTTAACAATACCCCAAAAGGTTTTGGAGTATTGTGAAGTGGATTAGATTAGATAAAATTTTGAGAAGTTTAATTCAGCTAGAGATACAAATGATCTCTCATTAACTTTCTTATAAAATCTGAAAGAAATGTTTTTAACTGTGCCTTCAATCAGGAATGCAGCACTTCTTTATAAAGAAGGGTTGTAACCTCTTCATCATTCCTAGACCTTTATCCCTCTAAAGCATTCTTTATGGGTTGAAAGGTGAAATATTTGAAAGAATATTTAGGGCTACGAGAACTGATAAAATTTGATTTTTCGATCTCCAAATATAGAGAAGGAGTTTAACAATGTGAGAGTACGTTTTTATCAAGAGAATGTATGTCTCCAGATAAAAGCCCTCTTTAGCAGCCCTGTATTGTTGTCCTCAGCGTTTCTTTCAAAAGCGCAAGTTCATTATCGGGCGCAATTTTTACTTGAATTCCTTGATTCCTCAAAGTTCCTCAATACCCATTCTTTAGATTCTGATTAAGAATAAGTTGTTTTTTGTTTCATAGATTCATTTATGGGTTTTTAAAGTTGACTGACGTTTTATTTTTTCATTACTGACTGCAAAATTTATATTTGCCTCACTTACAACATTGTCAAAAATATCATATTTGCAGTATCTCTTTTTTTGGATTCTTGCAATAAATACTGAATATACTAACATATCCAGTTTCTGCAAGTTGCTGGTTTTGAATCTAAATGTAGTTTTGGGAATTGGAGTTAAAGATATGCACTAAAGTTCTATTGACCATACATTATGACCGAATGATCAATAATTGTATTAATACAAGTATCTCTTATTGGAAATCTGAAACCATAATCTTAATTTGAATCAAAGTAAATTAAAACTTGATTAAAGGCACCGCAATATTGTATTATTCTAAATCTGACTCTTTTGACTATTTACATTTCCAGGAGCTCATGGCCACGACGGTCCCTTCGGCGGTAGTTTCGTCGCCTCCAGCAAATACAGCGCCGGAGGCCACGGGGGCGGCGGCGGCGGCGACGGTGGTCACGGATTAGGTGGTGGATACGGCGTCCACGAAGGTGGCAATGGGGGCGGTTTTGCCGAACACTACAGCGACGTCTTGGGGGCCAGTGAACACCTAGGAGGAGGCGGCGGCGGCGGCCATGGCGGCTGGGAAGCCCTGCAGGGTGGTTCCATCGGAGGAGGGGATGAGCTCGGGGGAGATATAGGAGGTGGATACCACTAGAGTGATTGAGATATTCACGAGTGCTGTTGATTCTCTGTGTATATATCGTCAGATGTAAATATTTATTTCTTTTCTTGTTGATTTTTTTTTGTTGATTTATGTTCTGTTTTAACTGTTGACTTGTTGTTTAATAAAATCTTTTGTGTTTAAACACGAATTTTATTCACGTAAAATAATGCCATTTCTTTGTTGTTTGAGACATGTTAAAAATATGCCGTTTAATTTTTTGCGTTTGGCAAAAATAAAATATAGTAATAAGTTAATCCTTATTATTTAAGTTTGATATACTTAGACATCATTTAGAACAAAAAAGTTCGAATTAATTCATAATGGCACGCAATATTTTTTAAATGTTTTTAAATGATTGTAAAAGGATTTACAATATTTTAAATGTTACTATAGTTTTGTCAAGTTGCTAACTATTGCAAAATATTTCATTTTCATTATGTGAGTTGTACAGAAAAAAAACATCATTTCAATTTTAACGCTGCAGCATAATTTTCAAAATTTTTAGAGTGAAGTGTCCGATTTAATCCGTTTTTAGATAAAGTTCTATTACGTCACATAGCATGAATTTATCGATTTATTCGCCTACGTTTTATATTTTTTTGTTAGCGATTTTTTTTTATTTAAAACCTCACTACATCCCTGGAATCTGCATCCCCTCAATTGAATTTCGTTCAAATGTTCACAAATTTGCTCTTTTTAAATATAAGACTTCTTCCTGTGAGGTACATTTATATCAAAAGTATACAAAAGAATGTCTAAGAAGCTTGCAGAGAAAGCAGAGAAATTACTCCGCAAATATTTAAAACTTGTTATGAGAAACATTCGATTGCAATGTTTGTTTTGTAATTTTTTCTTGTTTGTGTTTATAATTAAATCGTTCATCCATTGAAATTAAAAAATGTTTAATTTGATACGGAATATTAAAAAAAGTAAATTAGTAAACATTATTTCTGTTTATTTAATTTATTGGTAATTATATCGATTGTTCGCTGCATTTAGCAAGAACAGAAATACATGATAAAAACCACTAATATTAAATTCATAGTTAGCGCTGAATATTTTATTCATGAAATTTGGCACAATTGACGTAAGCAACGAATTTTTGTCAAATAAATTATACAAGATCTTTGTGCACGATAAATATCGCAAAACAGGCATCCCAATTACGTGTTAGGTTAGGATAATTAATCTTTAGTATATTCACTGCATCTATATATTAGAAGTAGATGTAGATTCTAGTACATTTAATACATTAATTGCATTTAATTATGCCCAACACTTAACTATTTCATTTGTTTCCTGGCTATTTTCAGAGAATCATCCTGTACCCTGCGGCAGAAAGTTAAAAACAGGCAACGCTTTGCGTTACCATGGTAACGTGGGATTTGTTTGTTTCTTTTCGGCATTCTCCGGTCTGTCCGTCTGTCCATCGGCCGTATTCGTTTCGGAATTACAAATGGCCTCCTTTTGAAAGGAAACGTCAATAACAATTATGTAAAATTGGCGTAAAATCGATAAACAAAATGGAAATCAGGTGTTGCATGGTAGGATGTGATAATGTTTCCTCAAAAGATGAAAATAACGGGAATGATGCGTTTTTTGTGTTCCCCAAGGATTTTAATCTGTACGTATGTCTGTGTTCATCACCTTCAATATTAATAAAAAATATTGTATACTTACAAATATTTTAAATTTAGAGATTTTGCTTTTATTATTTACAAGTATTTTACAAGTCTAAAAAAATATATATAAACTGTTAGTTTAATTGTTTAAGGATAATTAAAAATCTGTAAATTTTTTTTAGATTTTGTGAAAGTTTTAAGCAAAGTTTTATTGAGGTTTAATTTACTTGCTAAAAAATAAGAGCATTATTTTTTAGGTGTATGTTGTGGGTACAGAACTGTGGTCGTCCAGAATATTTTGAAGATTTTGCATTTGCCGGAGCTCAACCTTTTTTGAATAGACATATATGTTCCAAACATTTTAGTGACATTGACTTTATTAAAAAAGATCCAAAGCTAGGGTAAGTGATTTCAAATTATTTTGTTTTTGAAATATGCAAAGAAAACTATAAAATGATAATATAAATAGCAAAGGGACAATATAATTAGTATATTTTTTTGTTTTTTGAAAATCTTACGTTTTAAAGTAAAATAGACACCCAAAAATAAATAAAGGCAGTATAATTGATGAATTCTTTTAGCACAAAGAATATCATGCGCATATTTTTACTGCTACTTAAAATTTAAAATTTTTCTTGAGACCCATATAATCATTTCTGAAAAAAATTAGGAAATTCTTCTATTTAACCACCTGTTATATAATTATTTTTAACATTAGGTATGTAGGTACAGCATGATCAATTAAGATTTAGATAAAAATTGCTACCAAATTTTGACAAATCTGATAGTAAATAAGTATTGTTCAATTTATTGACATATTTTTGGAAAAAAATAAAAATATTTAAATATACTTTTGTCCATCCTCAAATGGGTGAGATTACCTATATAATTTAATACAGAATTTGAGTTTTTTAGAATTTTGCCAGGTTCAATTCCCAATTTAAACTTGGCTTTTCAAAGGGTTGATGTAAAAGAAGAAATTGTTGATCCAGGTAAGTATTTAATTTTTCTAGATTGATCAAAATAGTACTCAAGTAGTAACAATTGTTAACTTCAGTCTTTTATTCATTTCAAAAAAAGTATTTGGCTTTGTTTTCTAATTTTCTTTGTGTACATGTTTTAGGGTATTCAGAAGCAGCATCAGGTCTAGCATATTCAGAAAACGAGCTCTTAAATGAAATAAAGTTGGAGAAATTTGAAAATGACAATTGTGAAGAAATAAATGCTAATTTTTCTTTTTCATCAACGGATGGTAAGTTATAAATTAAATTTAAATGCAAAGTAAAATTAAAAATAACAACAGACACTTCCATAACTAGAGTTTTATTTCAGATTCAGGTAATGACGTACATGGATCACCATCGACACCAGGATCTATCGACGTTTACAAAGAAACTAAGGAAGATAAAGAACTAAGGTATCCGTTTTTTGAAATTTGTGAACCCCAAAAAGTTATATTATTTTCTTTTCTTAAGTAACGAATTCTTCAAAAAGTACAAAACGGCAATAAAGGGTAGAGGAAATACTAGGAGATCTTATGAAACGGAAGAAGAAAGAACATTGAGGTAATTCTAATAATTTTCATAGAATAAAAAAGTACATTTTTTATTCAATATATTAGTGTTCTGTTTTGGTGTGAAACAGTATTTTTCATTTTTTCATATACTTTTTTCCTGTAGGTTGAAAAAAGAAGCTCTGAGAGCAAAAATAAGGAGGTCACAAGAATCTGAAGAACAAAAAAAACTGAGACGGATGAAAAATGCTCTTCGTGCCGCTTTCCGCAGACAAAATGAGACACCGGACCAGAGGGAGTTGCGCAAGAGAAAGGATAAACTACGGTCCCAGACGAGGAGAAAAGCAGAAACTGAGACAGAGACGAGAATCAGAAGGTACACATATATATAGGGTGTCTGAAAATAAATGGTCCATGCTTGATCAATTAAAAATAAACTGGTTTGGATCAAAACAAGTTTTCTCAAAAAATGTAGTATGATTTTAAAAATATGCTTCATTTGCTTTTGCTAGAAACAACACATCTCTTTTTAGAATACATTGATCAGATTCATTATTTCCATTAATTTATTTGGTATTCACATTCCTAAGAAATTTACTAATAAAATATTGAGATATTGAAAAAATTTAAATAACTTATCTACCAGTTTCTAATAGGCTGCTTTTAGTTATTGGTGGGTAGGTATTTAAATATACCTTCAAAAATTCGTTAGCTGTTTCCACTGTTTGTTTACTGTCTTCTGAATTTAACAGCACTATTTATTTTCTCAGATCATATAACACAAACAGTAATTATTTACTATAGCATAAAATGCCCAAATCCCCACAAAAATGTTCCTACCCCCGCATTTTTGAGTACTCAACATGAATCTGAAAATACTTTTGTGGTTGTGGTTGAACCTAGCTTTCAGAACATCCGTAATGAACAATCAACGTTGTTTGTGAAACACATTTTCGCAAATTTGAAGTAAAACAATAATAAATAATAATTCCCTACTTCTATCCGCCATTTGCAATTCGTGATGTCATCGAAGTTCCCCCACAGGTATTCATCTGTTATTCTATGATCAGTAATCTCGCTTTCAGTTTTGAATAATGATCACTGAATTAGGACGAGACAAACACGAACTATTTAGATCCATGAGTCCAATTTCGAAGAGAACAGGATTTTGTTTATTGTTGACTTTTGATTTGATTTTAAATGTTTAGGTATACCTATTCTTCTTAGAGAAAAAATAAACCACCACAATTTTAAAGTTTTATTAAATATGTGAACGTGATCAGAAGTTCGAATCACAGAAAAAGTTTGAATCATACGAGAAAGGGGATTACCGATCCTGATCATATAATCTGACAAGAAAACAACTACGAACATGATTTTGGGATCATAACGCGTTTAGATCACAGGATAAAGAGGGATAATCCCCCTCGATCCCAAATCATTGAGGCCAATTTCTAGCCATAGAATAATGGCGCGTGGCGCGATCCAAAAATTGCAACCAAAAGAAAGCAGCTTATATACTGCAAACATATTTGTAAGGGCGACACAAATATATAAAATATTTTTTTTTTTAAATAAAAGCATTTATTCTTTTAAGTTTTATGTTCATTATGTTATGTTATGATAAGTTGTGTTAAAGTTGAGTTAAGTTGTGTTCAAATGGCGTTAGATCGTGTTAAGTTGAGTGTGTCGTTTTGTTAAAGTTGAATTAAGCAATTAAGTTGTGCCAAAATAGAGTGAGGCCACAACTTAAAATATTTTTAAGCTGTAATGAGGCTGTGTTAGATTTAAATTGCGTTCTATTAACATTGCGTTAGGTTTTGTCCAATAATATGAGTGTATTTTATGGCGGGAAATTTTAAAAGAAATTAGTAAACGTTTTGGTATGTGTGTAAATAATATACATATGTTATTTATATATTACCAGAAATTTCAGTTTAATATATGACAAAATATATTTTTTGCTAATTCTAGTTTAATTTAATAAATTTGTGAAGGTAACTGAGTACTGAGCAATTCAATCTTATGTTGACCCCAAAAATCTACTTGCATTTGCACAGAATTTTGGACAATCTACATTAGGTCTGTTCCAACAAGAGTCAGGGATTGGTTCCGAACCGTCAGAAATGTGCATCCAACTAATTCTTGCGATTTATTCACTGAAGACACATTTAGAACTTAGCTGGCCAAACATTTCGAACAGTTCAGAACCAATCCCTGACTCTTGTTGGAACAGACCTATTATTTTATTTGGTCATTTTTCTTTTCTCTGTGATCACTGGTCAGCCTCTTAAATCAATGTCTATGGTGAATGACATGCGCGAGCGCCTCTAGCCTCTACTAACCTTTCTTAAAACATTAGCCCGTATTGTTTACCTGTGCCGTGTCTTTCTGTCTTCCATTGAAATCATTGGAGTTATAACTATAAACTTGTGTTTACGTTCGTAATATCAACAGTAAACACAAAACTTTACCATTTAAATATCATTTGCGTGCAAAAAAACGAGTATATAAAAATTTCACTTAAAAGTGATGGGTGATCCTTCAAGTATGATGGGGCACACAGGAGGTGGCCTTATGCCTCCTCAACCGTACGGAATGCATCCTCAAGGCTCGGCTTCAACAGGAGAAAATGAGCCTAGAAACCAAGACATTGGTGAAATCCTACAACAAATAATGAACATAACAGATCAAAGTTTAGATGAAGCACAGGCTAGAAAGCACACATTGAACTGCCACAGAATGAAGCCTGCTCTCTTTTCGGTACTATGTGAGATTAAAGAGAAAACTGTCCTCTCGCTTCGCAACGCACAGGAGGAGGAACCTCCAGATGCTCAACTGATACGGTTAGATAACATGCTTATCGCCGAAGGTGTAGCTGGCCCAGAAAAAGGAGGTGGTGCTGGCGCTGCAGCTTCTGGATCAGCTGCTGCACAGTCCGGGCAACCTGACAACGCAATCGAACATTCTGACTACAGAGCAAAACTGTCCCAAATCCGCCAGATTTACCATCAAGAACTGGAGAAGTATGAGGAGGCCTGCAACGAATTCACCATTCACGTTATGAATCTCTTAAGGGAACAAAGCCGCACTCGTCCAATTACCCCTAAAGAAATCGAACGCATGGTTCAAATTATCCATAGAAAGTTTAGTTCGATTCAGATGCAGCTGAAGCAATCCACCTGCGAGGGCGTTATGATTCTCAGATCACGGTTCCTAGATGCTAGGAGGAAGCGTCGTAACTTCAGTAAACAAGCTTCAGAAGTTCTGAACGAATATTTTTATTTGAATCTCTCAAACCCTTACCCGACCGAGGAGGCCAAGGAAGAACTTGCGAGGAAATGCGGTATTACAGTAAGTCAAGTGTGCAATTGGTTCGGTAATAAGAGGATCCGTTATAAGAAGAACATCGGGAAAGCTCGGGAAGAGGCTAATCTCTATGCCGCAAGGAAAGCGGCAGGTGCATCTCCGTACAGTAGTACCCCCACACCAATGATGTCCCCCGCGCCTCCCCAAGAGTCCATAGGTTATTCCATGGGCTCTACATATGAAAGTGCAGGTTACGACGCCAGTAGCTGTGGTTATGACCCTATGCACGGTCAAGAGTTGTCACCTTAGGTAAAACTTTAAGTAAAAATATTACCGACGTATACTATACTTGTATACTAAACAGAGTATACTAATTTTTTTACTGTGCTGTGCGTTATATATACCAAGTTCGTTTATTGCCTCTATGACGGAGAACACTTTACTCTTTACGCCGATGAAACGTCTAGCATGATTCTGACGTGGACTGGCCCATCGTTAATGCTCAGGTTATTCAAGCATTACCCGAGGGTGGCAAATTGCAATCTCAGAAGTACATAACTATATAATAAATCTCTAAACCATTAGTTCGGTATACTTTAAATGAACTGATATAATACAAGACGAGTGCAAGAATTAATCAAATTGCACAGACCTGTTGACAGCAAGTATTGTGCCATTTTCAAGAAATAATTACAGGTTACAAATAGGAAAGTAAATATATAAAACTTGTTTATTTATTATTATTATACAGAATGATCCTAAAGTATCTCCCAATATTTGCAGGTGCAATACATCAAAAAATAAAGGTACGTTTTTATGCAGGATGCAACTAAATTCTTCTATTTAATTAAGATTATTTTTATTTCTTCAAAAGTATTCCAAATTAAACACTCACTTTTATGATAGTACATTAAAACCTTAACAAGGATGTACAGTTTTCGAGATAAATGGTAAAATGTCATTGAATAACGATAGTAACAATTCATGTAATCATGTTATCCTTGAAAAAACAAAGTATTATGTGCATAGTTTCCTTCATTTGCTTTTTGCAGCTTATACACTTTATTTTGACACCCTATATCATGAAAACGAAATGTTTCTGGACACATGTTTATAGGAATTTATTTGTTAATTTGTGGCATAGTCCTTCATAAAAGTTTGATCAAGCATTTTAGTTATAAACTTTTCCCAAAAATTATATTTCACTTATTAGCATTTTAAGGAAAGAGCTAGGAAAAAAGTTACCCTAATTTTTTTATGTCCAGAGAATATCGGGAAACCTTTTATGGCCATCCTGTATAACATTGTATAAAATGTTTCATGTAAAACTTCATATGTTATTTATTGTATTAAATTAATTAAACAGTTGTACAAAATGTTTTATTTTACCATATTTTAAGGCGCAGAAAAACTGTCGAAAAAAACTTTGTTCCTTTGTAAATTTTGACGACAATAAAATTTTCATCTAAGTGCGACATATACTTTTATGATGGTCCAGATTTATTTATTTCAAATTTGATTAACTCGTTTTTTATATCATTAAACATATATTTGGCACCGACCGTTTACTTAAATTGTATCATGTCCAAATTGAGAATCACGTTTTGGTGGTTTTACCGCTAATTTTAGCAGGCATACATTTTCGAAAATTCAAATAAAAATAAAAATCTAATCTTTTAATTTAGATAAGACTGGATTACCTAAACACATTCAAAAGTTATCACAATTGCATACGCACAAGCTATCATTCGGAGTATTCTTGACACGTGCGTGCTGATAGCAGCGAGAGATTTCCCAGAATTATTTCCAGGGTATTTTCTACCATTTGCAGAATTTTTCCATTGTACTAACTTGTCATATAAGTACACCAAACTTTTCATGGTACAAATCACATGGATTACTATTTTAGAACAATATAATGATATTGATCGATTGCGGTCTATCCACCTGTTGGAAAATTCATTATTTAGATGATCCTCACTTCACATCTAAATGAGCTGGAGCACCGTTTGTAAAGCACAAGAATATTTTCAAGTAGTAGTCGCATACAATCGATATGCTGGGGCAGCATTTTGGCAACACTCGCTGTATACCAATATATCAATTCATCATTGTTAGTTAAACACCAATTGTGTAGTGTACTTAAAACCCAAATCACTACTTTTATAAGACAAGATCACAACTTAAAAACTATTTATGAGACTTATCTGTTAATTTTAAAATGAATCATAATACCTACCAACTCTAATATATCAGGATTCTCTAGGACTAAAGATGATTTACATCCTTATTCCAGAGTAAGTTATAATATAATTAGTTATAATGTTTCAAAGCTATATTTTTTAACAATCTTTTAATTCATATTAAAACAATAATAATTAATATATTTTTAAGAATTTAAATTGTATCTGTCTCGTTTTTCTAACTTTTATCAACTGTATGGCAGCTGACTAGAGAATATAACCTGTCATTGGATACGAACACAAGCAAAAGTAGTTTTTCCCCTCTCAAATCTTTGAAGTATCATTGACATAATCTCAATTGTAGACCCCCTAATTGCCAGAGACGTACTCTTTTATTTTTGGACATCCTGTAGATTGCAAGCGCTGACATTCCTTCACTTTGGATGTGACTATGAAAACTGAAAACTGAATCAGTTTAATTCCAGGTATAACGATGCGGTGCGAGCAGCATTTCGCAGAAATAACGAGACCCAGGAGCAAAGGATGGAGAGAAAGATGAAAGATATAATAAGAGCCGCGAAAAGACGTAGCATGGAGACGCCGGAACAGAGGGCGGACAGGTTAAGGAAAGATAGGGAGAGGGCCAGTAAAAGAAGAATGCTGAAGAGAATCACTGAGCAGATGACCCGTTTGGACGGCTTGTCGGAATTAGGGCAAGTGCCTGCGCCTGTAAAAATTGATTTGGAGAACGGTAAGTCTGATTTTCTTTTTGCAAAAAATTCACACAAATAAAAATTATGGGTATATGAAACAAAACGTAGTTGTAAATATGAAATCCTTATTCGATAAATAAAAATTTTAAGTAAAACGTAGAATGAAACAGAACTTAGGGTATTGCAATATTCCACCAATAAAATTCTATAAATGATCGTGTTTTAAAAATTAAGGAATACAAAAGTTCTGTTTATTTATAATCACATTTATTTTACAATTTTTTAAGAAAATCTGTCCAAATTGCTGCACCCAACATTAAAAATAATCTACAGACTATTACTTTTTTAAAATCACTACTTCTCTAGACCAATTTCGACAGTTTTGGGGAATTTCCCACGTTAGATAAAAAGTAGTAAAGATGTCTAGGATTCGAATTTTCTGAAAAATTAAAATGCAAAAACTGTATCTTGTCTTTTTAACAAATTATATTGCGAGAAACAGCTATTCTTTAAGATATATGCTCCCTCCAGCATTGAATTACACTCTCAATATCTAGTAACCAGCTAAGATTAAAACCAGCCATGTTTTCAAAGCACCTACCTACAGAGTAGTAGGTCATTCAATGCCAGTAGGTGCAAAGTACTGTAGTAAGTAGGCACTGAATAGCAATGTCATGTACTTTATAGGTTATATCTCACTTACTTTTTCCTTAGAACCCTTCAAATGTGTCGAAGGTCCACCTTGAGCTATTTTATTGGTGGAATATTCCAACACCCTGTATAATAATTGCTAGTATTAACTACATTTTCGATGTACAAGTATTTGATATTATTTGAAGGCTTTCAACCGCTAACTATGTCCTCGATTGGTACCATAGCCACTCGATGTAACGAAGCTAGCAATATGGACCATCTCCAGCAAGTGTTGGAGTTCATAGAGAACAACACCAGTAAATCAAATAAGAGAACTTTGAAAGAACCACCCGAAATTAACCATTTGGACAAAGTACCGCACACTGCCTTTGAATCTACAGAGGTAGGTAAAGAACGTACAAAAAGTGATGCTGTAAGCAACGGTAATTATCAAAGTTCAAAGAAAATGTTAGAGCAAGGGTATCAACTGACCGACGTTCTGTCTAAAGTTAGTGAAAATGGAGAAATGCCAGGTATCGACAGTTTGAAGTACAATCAAAGTGACGGTGCAGAAGCTGTGAACGTTTTACAACCGGAAGTAGTCTGGGTTTAGGCAATGGACGTTTTAGGAAATAGTCAATTTGTTGTTTGTACATAAGAGTTATAGTTACATGTGTGTATATTGAATTTTTTATTTCAGGCGTTTTATGCCGTTTAGATAGAAAAAAAAGAAGGTTTTTGACTTGTGTGTTTTATTAGTCTATACGGGGTAATCACGACTTTGGAGAACCAGAAAAAATTAAATTTTATGCGACGGAGAAATTCAAAAAAATTTTAGGGAGATTGTTCACTGTTCTTTATTTATTTTATTGAAAACGAAGTCAATTTCTAGGTACTTCTCATGTATTCATATTTATCCAATTAATTAACCAATTTCTAAGCAAAATATCTGGAAAAAGTAACGGGAATTGTAATTTTCTCAATTTTTATCACATCCCCAAATCGCCAAAAAACAATGAGGTAAGTCGAACTCATTTGCTCGCTAAACACGATCTAAGCTTGATAGCTGCGTAAAAATTGAGGTACGTCACTGATAGTGCTACCAATGCACAGAAAAAAAGAATCAACTCGATAGTCAAATCACAATACACGAAACTTGAGAATTCCCAATACTTTTTCATCAAACCTTGTTTACAGGATTATCCAAAAGTCCCCGTACGACAGAAAAACTGTTTTGGGAAAAAATGTTTCAGACAAAAGTGTAAGGATTTTTCCCTGGCTTGGATTCGATCTTGACTTTGACCTTCAATGTCACTTGAAGGTCAAGTTAAGTTTTTTTAAATGAAAACCCCTATTTTTTATTACGGATTTGGAAAGAGCTGACAGTCAATTATTATTATTTTAAATATATATGAATGTTTGAAATGAGAAAATAGTGAACAATGGGATAAAGAAATTAGGAAACGGATTAGCGAATTAACTACGATATCGAAAAACATCAATTTATCGCGTAATTAAAGAAGGAGACGTTATTAATCACGGTACAAAAAGGAAACGGCCCCATGTAATTGTTACGGATCGTATAAACTCCGCCATGTGCACCTTTAACTTGAAATTTTCAGTAACGCTGCCTTGTAAAAAACAATATCTTTATTAAGACAATTAAATCAAGCTTAAATCTAGATCTTTGATCTTTACGCCGAAAATAATCCTTATAAATAAAGTGAAACAGTCCAAAAATCGCTAATACGTACAGGTATCAATTTTAAGTAATGTCTTTAAGATTAGGGGTTAATATATTTACATCATACAGTCATATTACATACCTCTAGCGCGAACTGAAAATATTAATACAATTACTTTTTAACGATGCTTTAAAAATATGTCCTCAACTATAAAATGTACCTAATCTAAATGCGGATAATGCACATAAATCAGAAGGCGAGGGTTTTCGAGTAACGCTTATTTTTGATTTTTCGAAAATTCTAGCGTCAGAAACAAAATTTTACTTGATAATATTCGAATCGTCTAAAATATTCAACATTGAAAGGATCGTCATGATTGTTATCATTTATTGCATTAATTTAGGTAAAACTTAAATTACCGATGTATCGTTTCAGTGGACGACACCTAAACAACCCGATCATTTTGTAACCGCAGTTACTAGAGTTTATATAGACCAGCTATTTCACTCCGTTGTCGACATTGAAGAAAGTGATTTTCGTTGACCTTGATTAGCGAATGCAATGACCATCGAAGGACTGGTGCAAATACTAGTAATAATTTTTAAATTCTTTTTAGATACGCAGAAAGAACTAAAACAAGAGGCTTTATCAAATTTTTAAAACCCCCAATACATAACAGTTTTTGTGTGACGTTTCGTTTTTGATTCAACATGACTTCATTTTTTAAATATAAGCAGGTATTTTAAAATAAATAATTTTAAAGTGTTTGCTCATTTGTTTTAGGTATCTTTTAGCAATCATCAAGAGTGTTGTTGAAAAAACTTTTAAGTACAGTCCTATATTAAAAAAGCGAATATAATTAAATTTTCGGTCTGACTGCAACTTTTTCTCCCACGACTTGCATCTTAAAATTTCCATGATTTCGAGTGACATAATTAATTTTGACCAATAGTTTTGCAGTTACGTGCTTGATCACTGTTTACTTCGTTGGAATATGTAAAGTGAACGTCAAGACAGCAACAACAAAAAAATTCCTGTCACCTCTATTTATACTATAAACAAGGGTGACTTGGGATTTTTTTTAGGGGATTGGTATCTGGTACTTACATCCCTATACCGACTGTTTATCCATCTAGAAATATATAAATGAGAGAATCAGTAACGTCAATTATTCCCTACGACAAAACATAAACGTTAGGCAAACTCGAAACCCTCACTGAACAACACAAACTCACACAAAAAAATGAAAACCTTAAAAAAAATGGCGACGATGGCTGCCTCAATCGCAGCTGTCCCAGTCTAGGTCCTCCTTGTATCACAGGGCTTTCCTGTGGTACTCCGGCGGGGCGTTGCCGTAGTCCTGCAAGTTGAACAGCTGTGCGCTGTTCTTGATGAGGTACTTCAGGAAGTCCTGGATGTTCTGCAGCAACAGCTGGATGCTGCGCTCGTCGAGCGGGGTATAAGCGAGCATGGCACCTAGTTTGACGAATAAGCGTAGTAAGTGGATGGCGCCGTAGATCTCGGACATGGGCTTGTCCTGGTAGGTCTGGAGGATCTCGGCGTACTGGGGTCTCTCGAATTTGTACAGCAGCTGCGTGCCCAGCATCACATTAAAATACTCTTTGATACCTGGAAAATTTGACGTGTTACGATGCAATTTTGCTAATTGTGAATGAGTACAACAGGGTGGGCTAGTTCTGGCAGTTTTGGAAAGTTCAGGAAAATCCATTGCGATACCGAATGGAATTATTTTTAATTTGGTATCAACATTTATTTTTCTTTCCTACTAGTTTCGACTATTACGCCATCATCAGGGAAAAAGAAAATGACAATTATTCGAAAATAATTGACTATAAAATTTTATAGGTTTTTTTATTCTCTACAAAAGACCTATTGAGAGAAAGTCGATTCCATAATTATTTTGCGATATAAAAAAAAAAACAAAAATATGTAATTTTTTTGCAGTTTTTATTGTGTAAAAAAAATTGTTCACGACTTTGCTGGGGATTTAAGTGTGCCAAAAAATCTCTATCGGTTGGCCTATATGTCTTATAGTACTGTATATTTATTCCCTATGTGATCAAATCAATAATTTTCTGTTACCAATAATACAGACTACAAATTATTTAAATTACTCACTTTTAATGGAACAATAAATCCGATAAGCAAACAATTTTATCCCTAAAGTTAGATAACGTCCAATAAAGCTCTGATGGTCATAATAATTTAAATAAAACAAACATATCCCACACTGTTAAATAATTTCATTGATTAAACAAATCGTTTATATTATAAACAATTACAACCACTATTTAATAATAATTGTGCATGTAATTAAAATAAATATTATTCTTTGGTAGCGTATGTACATGCTTGTTTAGACGTTAAAATTTATAATTAATACAATTCGCATTAAAATAATGAACGTACCATTAAAAATGGGCCCCAATTTCATAGTTGATTTTCTCACGAATGGTTGATCGAATTTTGATATTCTTTTTTCTAAATTATATATTTGCCTCTTAACTACAATGTAATTACAGAAAATTTTATTGAAATTTCAATTTACTCGAACTATTTGTTTTTTTGATTCACACTATTATTTATATTGTTAATTGAGATACAGTTTATTGTAAAAATTAAAAGATTGATATATGTATAAGGTTCTAACATCGATCTTGCTTAGGTGAACCACATAATGTCAATACATCTGATGAGATATGACAACACTAAAAATAAACAATTGATGTTAATTTGTTCAAATGAGAATGGCTGATAGGTCGTTTTATTACATTTAATTTAGTTTTCAGTTTATCGGTTTACATGATGGTGTTTGTAATACAATACGTAATTTCACGACTTTCTGTATCAAGATCGTCAAAGTCATATATGGCTAGTATGCGGAAAAAGCTATTTTGAAATTTTTAGCGAAAGTTAACGTTGATGTGAAATGTATATTACCTTTTACTATCTCTATGGTGGCCGACTCTTTGCTGGAGTTGTTCGATTTGATCGATTTTTTGTACGTCAGATAGTTATCCAAAATTTGGTCTACTGTTACTTTGGCTGGTAAATTCAACAGCTTTCTCTGCCTCGTGATCACATCCCAGTCGTCCACTAACCAAGGCTTAAGCTCGTCTGGTATTTTTACTTTGATTTCCACTTTACTTAGAAACTGTTCTTCTGCTTCAACCGACGGATCGACTCTACCTCTTTTTTTTCTTGGCACGTCAGAACTGGAATCCTGACCGCTTGACGGGGTGCTAACCTCTTTTTTCTTTGTCCCTAAATACAATAATTTACATAAATAAATAATCTTAACTTGGAAATGAAACATTAGTATTACCTTTGCCCATTTCAGCAACGGGAGTGCTAGCCCTGGAATCACCATCTTTAACGGAATCAGCTTTTGTGCTGCTGGTTTTTTTCGTGTTCTTTTTAGACTTACTGGGTTGTGCCGAGTGAGCTTTTTGAACTTCTTTCTGTCTAGCGACGTTAGCCTCATTGTATTTCAATACCCTGCTTTCCGGGACCCATTCGTCCCAACTAAAATGATGAGCAGTGCAATTTAACACTGGATATCATGTAATATAGACGTACGAGTAAAACTTACTTTTTATTCCATCCAGCGTAATGAATAAAATATTTAACTTGTTTTTCTTTGGTTATTGTCGACTTTAAACATTTGGCTTCATAAATAAGGGGTCCATGAAAACACAGCACTTTTTCCCCTGAAAAATTAATTGTTTACTATCTAAATAAGTTTTATTAGTACTGTTTTACCTTCTGCAAATTTTAACTTAGGAGGCATTATATTTTCCGTGGAATTAATTGTATCAAACGCCGACAACTACTTGCACTATAAACATTACAAAATTGCTATGCTTTGAGTTTTCCAAACGATAACTTTTTCATTGAACTCATTTGAAGGTATTTAAAAATTGCTAACCTCAGTTGATGCTTTCAAGGGTTTGAGTTAAGAGTGAGACAGTGGGAACTGAGAAGCGTGAAGAACCACTGCTAGTCTTTTTTATCTGAAAATACAGTGATCACCTCTAGAATTCACAAATCAATTAGTAGAGTAGATAAGAAAAGTGTATTCTTTCTTCCCTAATAGGCTAAAACTACGAATGCTTTTATCAGCATTTTTATTGGTTCGTGTTAGAAACGATATCTACAGAAGCCAATCAATTAACAATAGAGTAGGATGGGAACAGTTCTAATTCTAAGATACTCCCTGTTATTGAACAAAATAAGTGTATTCTATTTTTGCAAGTTGTTCATGTTCAATGTTCATTGTTTGACATTTCATTATTATTTGACTTGACACAAACAAATTAATTGTCTCTACTCATTAGAAACAGAAAATTATAACCAAAAGGTAAGAATCTAATGCCTAAATGTAAAAATTATTAAATACATTTATCTTTAGTGACTATGGCTGGCTGTGTTCCTTGCTTTATAATTCCACTACTTCTCTTCATATTTCATCGATATATCCAGCCCATATTATTAAAATTCTGGAACCCCTGGGAAAAAACTGCTATAAAAGGGGATGATAAAGAATGCAAATTTAATTGTGATTGTAGTTGGAACAAAAAGAAAGAAATCGAGAATTCTACTCAAGAGACAGAGAATAAAGGAGATAAATTAAAAACTTCGTAATACTTAATATATAACTTAATATATTTATTCATTCCATAGTATATTATTTCTGGTGTGATGTTTTAGTGATCTTTGTAGTGTAATATAAGTTGTTTTAGGTATGTGATTTTTTCTTTCTATTCCGAACGTTCATTTCTGAAAAATTTCCACCTGTTGTCACAAATCACGGTTATAATTTGACATTAAATCCATGGCTAATTTCGTATTAATATTATGCAAGAAAAATACTAAGAATTAATGAGTATTTAACCACAGAAGAAATAAAATCAATTTCAATTATGTATGTTTTCTCAATAACAAAAATTTCAAAAAGTGAGCGTGTATTGGATTCCCTTGAGCATGGTCTTGCTTTTAAATTATGGCACATCCATAATCTTAATTTTTATTAAAGAATGAAATTTAATACGGTTCAAAGTGATTAAAATAAAGATTTTAAAATATTCATAATTTTTGTTTAAATTCTGGGTTATGCAACCAAATATACAGCAATGTGTAAAAGTGGTTGTCACTCTTTAATTTGTATTATTTTTCATAAACTTTTAGTCAATTTTTTAACGGTTTGTTGCAGCACTAATTTGTAATAACATTTGAATTGACTATTTTAGAACGTTGTTAAAAGCACACAATTTTGGATTGTTGGTAATATATGAAATAAACATTATTTCTACTAAGGAGCTATTCAAAATAAGATATTTATTTTTTAAAACATATTTTATAAATATTTATAAACATAATTTATAAAAATGGAAAATTTTCGTTACGCGGTCACTGGAGTACAAGTTGAATTAATAAACAAAATGAAGCACGTACAAAAGTGTAGTTTGTAATGCAGATGTATTTTAAAAAAATATTCAGCAATGTTTGTTTACTTCTTTTCAATTGTGACCTCAGAAACATAACGTTCTCTTAATTATTTTTTATTTATACCTACTGAAACTAGACCAAAGCACTTGAGCAACAAAATATACTGCCGGAAGGACGCAACTTTATACTTGTCGTATTTCTTATCATTTTATTAAACCTCTAAATAATAAAGTATCCTCTTTCTCCTTGACATATGCTGTTGCATGGCTAAACAATTTCTAATTTAACTTTGCAATTATAATATTTATCAAATTAAAATAAATTATATGCTAATGTGATAGGTTTCATAATTAAACTAAGGATATGCCGTCCTACGTAATTGTTAGGTCTTCCAAGAACAGTTATCGAACGATACAAGAAGAGTACTTTCTATTCAGTTTGTTTTGCTTACATTTCAAATACGAGGAGCTGAATATGTCTTTATTGATTTCGCGTATTCTTTTCGGGCATTAGTTGTTTAAATTATTTATCTTTTTAAGTTATATACACACTCTAACAATTTGAACAAAATTGATTTTGCAGTTGCATAAATTTAAAAAGGCCCCGTACAAAAATTTAATATACATAAAATATTTTTTTTTTTTACAATTTATAGATCTGCCTGCGTTTTTATGTATAAAAATGTAAATGTTAAGTGAGCTCACACATAGGTACATATGTATAGGACGTCCCCCCGCTAAAAAATGATTAGAAATGTCATTAACAAAAACTTTTCGAGTTTATGTTTGACATTTTGGGATTATTTATTAATTTGTTCCTTTTTAGAGTGCCATAAAATACCAATCAAATAAAAAAAGTAATAAAAAGTGAAGGAAATAAATATTTTATTCTATTTATAAAATAGAAACATAAAAGTACCTATAGTTTTGTTATCGAGTTTTATAACTGTCTGAAAAGTACAGACAACCTTCACATAATTTAATAATTAATTTAATTAATTATAATATACCTGCATCTAAAGAATATTAAATAATATCTTAATTACACTTCATATAGATGAGTACATAATTTTATGGTAGTCCAATTTCTGTAGCCATACAGATTACACCCATCGTTCCAAATTTTTTTTAATTTTCTTACATTAAAAACAGCTTGGGTACATTAAAGCGTATAACTTTTAATTGCAATAAATACCTAATGGTTAAACGCTTTGATTTAACTTAACGTGGTTATTATTAACCGCAATTTGTGATTTTTGTTTATAAAATAGAAGAAAAACATTGAAGAATTAAGCATCAATTCTATTTTTAGCATTCGGCTAAATCTTCTACTTGTGAAATTCCAGGTATCTTTTTAAACAGTGGTAAAAAATAATTATTTATTTAATTTTATATAAATAATTAATTGGTCGTTAGAAGTAAACTCTCATTCACAATTTTTTTGTTTTAAATGTCTTTAAATGAGGATGAAAAAAAATCATCCTTTTTGTACCATGGCACTTGAATTGCAAAATCCTTCCCTTATTTTGAGGCAGAAAAACTGTTGACAGTATTTTGGAAAACTGACCCTTAAATTTATTGAGAACTTCTGGAATCGCCCTCTACATAAACAAAGTTGAATTGCTGTGTATCGAAAACGAGCGTCAGCATTTTTGTCCTGTTTTTAGTGTTTTTGTAGCTACAACGATTTATACAAACACGTGAAAACAGAGCCAGTCGAGCTGTCGACGATTTCAGCGGTTCCAAAAATATTTCCTCGTATTATTATAGTAAGTCAGTAGGTAGAAAAAAATTTTTTTACTGATGGAAAAATACCCAATAAATAAAGAAAAAATATCTCTTAGCATTCCTGTCATCCATCGCTGTGATAATTATGGAAAGTGTGAACAGCATATCATTTGTTATTGACAGATTTTTTCGATTTTCAATAGAATAAATAATTCGATTTCTTGTTAACACGTGTCGTAAGGCACAGTGTTTTATCTTACTACTTATCTAAATAGGATAAATATATTTTATTGAATATAACGGAATCAAGGACATGAATGTGAGTAACTTTCAGACCAATACTGTTATAGACAATAAAGGAATTTGTGTACTTCATACGTAGGTACCTACATAAATCAGTAGAGAATGTAGAGATAAATAATATTTAGTGTTGACTTAAACAAGTGACATCACCAAATTTTCCATGCGTGTATATTGGTATAAAAAATTAATATAAAAATTTAAGGAGTTTCAGATTGTTTTCCATACTAAATGAAAACAATTTTTAAAGATTGCTTAACATGATTAACATTTGTCAGGTTTTGACCCAATAAATTGATCAGGAAATTCGCCAAGCCATTTTGATACTTAACTTATATTAGTAATTTTACCAGCTTCAATAAACTGCCCAATAAACTGGAAAAAAATAGCGTTCGTCCTGAATTTATTCAGTAGTAGGTTTTTTTTTCATTTCAAAGTTTCAAAAACTGCATGGTTTTCAAAAATGAGGTTCTAATTGTAAATAATTCTAAGTTTAAGTTTTGGTTTGAGGTTTTGGTGGCTGGTGTTGATTTAGGTGGTAAGTTTGTTAGGGGCATTGTTTCGAGAAACTTATCACCTTTTCTAAAAGTTGTTAACTTTAACAGGTAGAAAAGGCCACAGATATAGCAATTTTTTGTAATTGATTAAGTAAAAAATTGTTAAATATGTGTATTTTGTACAGGAAAATATCTAATTGTAAAAATCAACTCTAGGGAACTTGATTACATATATTCAGTGTTCAGTCAAGAGCATGTGATGTCTTTCTTAAACGTAAAATGTCAATAATTTCGCTATGGTGTTTCGAATTCAATGTTAATGTAAGCAAACACTTCCATGGAGTAATGAAGACCTAAAGTCTGTTGACCCTCAGTCTAACAAGGTACTTGAATACATATTAACTAAGTACCTAGCAGACGTAGAGTAGGGATGCGTAATTATATTTACAGAATATACAGGAGATAATATAATAAAGTGTAGATGTGCTCTTGTCAAAATCTGCAATAGGAAACGTAGGTATTTCCTGGGTATTTAGCAAATTTCAATATTTTATTAATATTGTAACCCTAATAACGTCAAAATTAAATACGTCGTCAACGAAAACAAAATTTTTTATTTCCTTTCGATCTCTCACATTTGCTTTCTTGAAACCAAATGTTCTTTATGTCGAGGCGTTCCTTTTTATATATCCGTTTTCATATTCTATAAATTTCTCGGTCTTTGAAACCAAATCAAACGTCAAAATAAAGGTAAGTGTTACAAAAAATGGTAAACTAACAATCAAGAACTAAGAAATGAATAAGATAGGAGTTTCCATAACATTGCCCCCTTGGTCTTGCAAGCCTGTGCAGAAATTACCCCATACCAAATACAAAAAATAAATGGTGGATTGATAGAAGTGACAAGAATTTAACTTTTGTTGCTTTCAGTTTCATTATTTTATTTTTAAATTTGTCAAAACTAATATTTTTATTAATTATTATAGGCGTTTTCGATTTGACTGTAACTTTTTTGTTTTCTATTCCATTGAAAACCTCTGAGAAATTTTTGAAATTTTTTCTCCCAACTCAAAAAAGATGAATTTTTGAAAAAATTGCTTTTTTTAAATAATCATAACTTTTTCAAAAATTGAGTTATCGGGACGTTTTTTTCAATATTTTTGTTTTTTAATGTACTTTTTGAAAAAAAATAGATCAAAATTATCTGGACCTATCTTCAGTTTTTTTTTTCATTTTCGAAAAAAAAACGAAAATTTCTCGATTTCTGAAAATTTTTTTTTATAAAAAACATTTTTTATAAATCCTCAAATTGTTTCAGTGGTTTTTTCGTTTTCTATTTTTTTTTTGTTGATTGAAAAACATTTTTTTTCAAATTTAGCTTATTTCACATACCATTTTGAAAATGTTTGAAAATGTATATAGAATCCCAAAATTGAAAAAAAATATATGAAAGAAATAATTGAAAGTAGTAATGAAAAAAATTTCGATTTTTTTGAAAAAGTTAATAAACAAATAGAAGATCATTTTGAATAATTTTTTTACATATTTTTTCGAAAACTACATCCAAAAACATCCATTTTTGGACGAACAGTAGACTAAAAAAGACATGCAATGCATTTGAACTCAAATAAATCATTTTGAAACCATCCTCATTTGACTTTGAAATTGTCATCAGTCGCTGCATAGAATAATTTTTTTCAATTTTGGGATTCTATATACATTTTCAAAAATTTTCAAAATGGTGTGAAATAAGCTAAATTTAAAAAAAAATTTTCAATGAATAAAAAAAATTGAAAACGGAAAAACACCACTGAAAAAATTTGAGGATTTATAAAAAATGTCAAAAGTATTTTATAAGAAAGAAAAAAAAAATTTAAATGTAAGGTAATCGAGAAATTGTCGTGAAGATAGTGAAGATAGGTCTAGAAACTTTGATCTATTTTTTTTCAAAAATTACATTTAAACACAAAAATTTTGAAAAAAAACTTGCCGATAACTCAATTTTTGAAAAAGATGGTTAATTAAAAAAACAATTTTTTTCAAAAATTCATCTTTTTTGAGTTGGGTGAAAAAATTTGAAAAAATTCTCAGAGGTTTTTAATGGGGTAGAAAACAATAAAAAAGTTTCAGCCAAATCGAAAGGGATCAGGATTAAAAGTGGTCGATTTGGCGCGGAATGCCCCAATAATACCACATTACTAGTTTAATTAATTTCATTTTTTTGTTATTGTTTTGGTGCATGGAAAACTTGATATCAACAATAAATTAGTGAAAAAAAAGTAAACATGTGAATTTTTTATTTGACTACAAAATCGTTATTTAAAATTTTTTCAAAAAATTTGGTATTGGCCCGTTTTGGGGGGTCGTGAGTCCAGTGGCGTAAACATATTTTTTCTCAAAATGAAATAGAATTTTACTCCTAAAAACGGACGTAGTATGCTTTGGATTTTGTAGGATCACGCTCATTTTCCTTCACAAAGCACACTTCAACAAGCTCTACATCGTAAAGAATCCGTTAGAATAGCACAATATATAAAGATTTTGCAGGGTAGCTTTGGTCTATTGAAAATCCACATGCTGTTAGAAGAACCAATTTTCAACATCGATTTTCCGTCAATGTATGGGCAGGACTTGTGAATGGAATGCTCATTGGACCACATATTTTACCGGATCGTTTAACGGGCGAAAATTATGTAAACTTCTTGCAAAATGATCTGCCAGTTCTCTTGGAGGAACTGCCATTGAACGTTAGGCAAAACATGTGGCTTCTGCAAGACGGGGCACCCCCCCACTTCAGTAGGGAGGTACGATTGTTATTGACAATACTTTTCGAAATAAATGGATTGGTCGAGGTGCTCCAGTGGAGTGGCCTCCGAGATCTCCAGATCTGACTCCATGTGACTTTTTTTTTGGGGCTACATGAAATCCTTAGTGTACCAAATTCCTGTGGAAACAGTGGAAGAATTGATTGGACGCATAGAGGAGGCTGCTATTACGATTAGAGGGAAACCAGTTTCTTTACTTCACGCGGTGACTGAACAGTGGTTACGTCGAGCTGAACTATGCGTCGAAGTAAATGGAGCTCATTTTGAGCATATCAGTTAGATTAAGTTTAGTAAAATTTTCGTAACATACCTACTTAAGTAATTTTGAATTAAAGTTACATTTCATTTTGAATGTGGAATAAAACTATTACTTTTTTTTTATTTGAAAACTGAGTCGTGTGAAAAAAACTCAAGAGAGCTTTCTTCTTCAGAACTGAACAGAGAAATCAAAAATTATTTTTATGTTTCGAAAAAACAGTAGCGTACCATTTTTTCTTAAAAAATATTGAATTATCTGTTGGTACGCGCGCCACTGATAGATTTAGAAATATTCTGCTTATCGAATAATATGCGACTTTTGGAGTTATCAACGCCTGTAAAATTTCATTAACATATCACAAGCGGTTTCGTAGAAAAAAAATCATTTTAAAAATTTTTAAACAAAACTTTAACCCCCTGTACTTTCGTTAATATTGATATTTCGAAAAAGTGGTAAAGGAAAAAATATTTATTTTTCTTAGCTTTATTTGGCGGTAGAAGGATTTACCCAACTTAAAAATCACCCTGTCTACTTTTTTCAGCAGAGTATTCTGGTCCTGGATCGAAACATTTTCTCGATTCGGAAAGAACTAGAAGAAATTAATGACCCAGACTCTCAGCAACGCTTTCTTAACAGAGCTGTTACACGGACGGGATTTTTTTCTGTCAACAAGTCCCAGGACACCGCCGCCCATTAACCAAAAAGGCCCACCGTGCCGTCGAATAAATCAAGCCATTGTTTATATCCCACATAAACAAATCCGGCGTATTCTTAAATCGCATAAACATTAAAGGCTGTTTTAAGTCGGTTGGCCGTTCCACCTGTACGGGGCACACTTGACTGTGCCGCAGCCAGTTTAGTCAGTAAGTCAGTGGTCGCTGGAACTGCTAAGACCACTTTTGAGTCTAGTGCGCGCTGCTAGGAAAGAAACTCGCATCGCGACTCGTCTCTCTAGGTCACAATATTAATAACGATGTAAGTAGGCGATGCAACCGAGCCGAATTTGATCTAGTGTGTTGGAAAAACAATGGACCCGGTGACATTTCAGTGCGGTACGTGCGGATTTACATAGTTCTGTATTGGGATCGAAGGCCTGCCGTCGAGGATTACCTTTCGGGGTAAGTAACACTGTGGATTCGCTTCGAAAATATACGTTACATTGGCGCTTTTTGAATTGAGTAGTTCCGGATTTTAAGCAAACAGGTTCGCCGGTCATAATAACTGGTAAATATGTAGGTAATTTAATTCTTTCTCCGTGGTGCTTTGCATACTAATGGATGGGTTTCGGTACTGGAAGCAGGGATCATTCTCCATTCGGATAAATGCTTTTTATTTCTACTATTTTCATTATTTGGATATATACAGTTCCTGTTGAAGAATCGTTTGAAATTATAACGGTGCTGTTCATAATCATCGTTGAATGAGGTGGATTTACATGTTTTGGGACAAAAGTGGCAAATATATAATAAATTAATTAATTTGCCGTGGTGTTTTGCATATTTACGACCTCGCTTCTGTGCGACACTGGAATAGTGTTTTGAAAATTTTTAATAATGCCATGGTTTGATGACCTTCGGTCTACAGATTTTTTTTTCAGAGGCCAGAATTTATAATTCTCACAGATATGCAAAATGTAAAAAATAGATATTGGGAATCTTTTTAAACATTGTTATTCTAAATGCAATAAACCAATAAAAGACAACACTATTGCTACTTGTAGAACTATGCACAAATTAAGTACACCCTATTGCACCAATATTCTCAGGATTTAACTGTATTTAGGATGAAAATTGAAAAAATAGCTAGAAGCTAATTAGAAGTTTGAGGAATCTTCCAAACAATTATATTTACTTGGCTTTTATGTCGAAAACGGTATTTTTTTTGCTTCAAGATTTACCATGATGATATTTTACACAAATTGACGAGTAGAGTGCACAATAATCCCGCAATTTATATTATTATTTTTTAAATTCTCACGCTGAAAACATATACCAGATGGGATTTTGGTATGTTATACCATCTTGTTACTAATTTAATGGTGCTTGCCAGCTTGCCAATCGGCTATAGCTATTTGAACGACGTAACTGTGTATTAGCCTTAATGAAAAGTATGACGTTGTACAGCAGCCTTAACGTCTACTGTCAAAAAAAAAAGTTGATGTCTGTTTTGTAGAAATAGTTATACTTCCTAGTATTTTTCTAAAACTTTTCCCGTTTTACTGTTTCTCTATCTCATAGTTTTTGAAAATCGCAATACATGCAACACCAAAATGGCTGATTCTGATTTTTTTTTTTGACATTTGACTTTGACACTTTGCAAAAGAGCAACATTTCATCAAGGCATTCAGTTCAATCCCATCAAATTATATCCTATTGCTAGGGACACACTCTGATCAGGAAAAAACAAGTTTTATTAGAAATAAAAAGCAATATAAGACAACTGAATCACAAACTTTATTAAATCAAAAAAAAAAAAAAAATAAAAAATTATCATTACTTAAATTCAACTCAACAAAATAAAAAACATTAAACTCCTATGGCAAAACTCAACTTCTTAATCTGACTAGCCAGTTTTTCCAAAGCCAGATACTTCTCGTCCTGAGCCTTTGGCCTCTTGATCAAAATCTTGTTGACCTGATCGATCCTGCCTTCGATACATTCGTCCAGGATGCAGGACACAAGCAAGGATTCCACCTCGTCCTCGTTTATACCCAATTCGCCACTAATAAAGGATAACTTGACGTTTTTGTACGGTTTGACAAGGATCAACAGGACTTTGGTTCTAACGTGTTTGAGCAGTTCGGCGATGTGCTCGTGGATGAACGGGTCCGCCATCAGGGACTCCTTATTTTCCTAAAGTGAAGTTTTATTTCAAACTGTATATTTTGTTGCATTCTTATAAGGTTGTACGAATACTCTTAAAACATACTCGAATTCACTAATAATAAATCAAAATTGTGAAAAATGTTGGGAACCTCTGTAATCGTTCCAGAGTTACATGCTACATAAAAAGAGTGAATAGTAGCGACTGTAGATAGTGCGCCGCAGGCATTTTTATAGCGCTTTTTTTGTAACAAATAGAAGAATTGCTAGAGCAGTTTTAGGTTCTGCTTATCCGTCAATATGTGTTTATTATTTAAGAGTCAGTGGTTCAAAAAATGTTTCGTATTACTGTGGTAATTGGATGAAACGACTTTAGAAAAGAAAATTTGACTTATGAGGCAAAATTAAGTTGGTAATGATTCTTCAAGGTCTTCTACACATAATTTTGAAGTGCACATAAATAGCAAAATAACTGATTAAATGATTTGTTGATAAAACACTTCGCATATCCGCAACTCTAGATCTATTTACGCTAAATACTCCAAGCGTGCGTATTTATAGGTTTTGCGAATATCATTATGGTAATTGCTATTTTATGCTTATTTGAAGAAATTCCTATGATGTCATATATTCAATATGGTTTATTAATACAGGTAGCAGACCTGATAATGGTTGGGCTTGTAATCATAATATTTTAACTCTTTACTATCTCACCTGAACATATATTTTTTTAATTGAGGTGTCACATTTACCTCATTCTTCATGAACTACCTTGCAAAAGAAAAAATCTGTCTTCTATATTATTAACGTTTTTGTACATTAATCTGCAAAGATTATTGAAATTCGCAATCTCTAGCAGCAGGCATACAAACTCTACTTTGTAACAGGTTGTTACACTGCAGTTAAATTTAGACTATCAGAAATAAAACTACAGTCTGCGTTCCGTTTGTGCATCTCGCGATGGAAAAGAAAAAGCTTGGTATACGGTGTTCAAAATCGTTTGCAGCAAATTTCATTAAAAAATACAGTCTGTGGTATTGCATAAAAATATAGAATGCCTCTTGATTTATCTTGCAGAATAATGAAATCATTTATTTATTTCACTTTGATAAGAAAATCACAAGAAAATTATCAATAAAGTGATTTGGTGGTTTACGAATTCTGAACCATTTTCTTGACGATATATTTGTCCAGAAAAGGATATAGATGTTTTTAAGCTCATTCATAAAAATGCAGCATTTATTCTTATAAATTTCAGCAATCCCTACATATACAGGGTGGTAGATATATCTTGAGCAATACGATTTTCTTGAAAGTTGCTGAATATAAATTTTGAAAAGTGTTTTATTTTCAGTGACTGTCATTCAAGTGTAAGTGTGCCCGGTGATATGGTAAACTTTTATCTAAAAATTTACCCTTTTTGACGTCTTTGGAAAGGAGTAGTTTTATTGCTACAGATGGTGACACTGACGCAGATTTGATGCTGTCATCGATTCGTAGATTATATTCTACTGAAATGATATTTTTGACAATAGAAAGTAATTTTAATAGATGGAAATCCATTCATATTCACACTAATCGTCGTAATCTTTTTTCGGGTAGATCCACTACCGCCAATTTTCTTCATCGTCTCAATGATTGGACTAAAGCATTTGATCACTCTCATTGTGAGCCAGTTGATGTCTAATTCGTGTCTTGATTTTAGCACTGCTTTTCATAAAGTTCCTTTTAGAAAGTTGCTTGCAAAATTGGATCATTGTGGGATATTGCTTCAGTGAACTTTGTATCAGAAAGTTTCGTGTCAAAATAGTTGTGAGAGGTGTTCCTTAAGGATCTGTACTGGGCCCACTATTATTTAAGATTTACTTATCCGATCTGACTAATTTGACGTGCAAATATTCTCAATACGCATATGATACTAAACAAGATCTGAATTCACTGCATTAAGATGCGCTTTGCGCTACTTTAACCTTAGACCTTATTCAAGAATGGTGTATTGATAGGATGATGCGTAGCAGCTCTAGCAAATGTAGTATAACTCCATTTTGGCCTTTGTAACTTTAAAACTGCTTATTTTATCAATAATATACAGAGTGTAAGAAGTTTGACTACCATTACTTCAGCACGAGATAGAGTAATCATAAATGAACAAAAAAGTTGTATATTACAGGGGCGTAACATTAACAGTTCTCAAAATACAGTGAGTATTAATATTGGGGAATTTCATCACAACGTGACAACAGCGCTTAATCTGCTGATGCACATCACGTGTGCACGCGGCAGACTTGTCCTACGGAATAACAAAAATGTAAACAACTATTATTGTGAAACATTTAGTAAACAAGACAACTGTTTTCCAATTTTTAAATAAATAAAATAAAATGTATCGCGCGATTTTGTAGTACGAAGAGTTTTAGCTCGAATTTTAGTAATTATGAATTTCTTAAAACAGGAACTTAACTTTTAATCAAATCAAAACAAACTGCAACATATGCTCAAAATGTCCACCACCATTTTCGATGCACGCACGACACCTTCGAATCCAATTTTCGCGCAATCGCTGGAAAATTATCACGTATGTTAAACATTTTAAAAAGCAAGGAAACACACCTCAAGAAAATAGTGGTACGCAAAAAACACTCCGTCACGGTCAAATTCCAGATACCAACTGATTTGTGTATTGCTGGTTGTTGGACTGCTTAGTACCTCGTGTTAACCGCCGCGCTGTTGTCACATTGTTCGATATGAATTTTATCGAATTTTGAATTTATTTATCGTCTGTTAAAAGTAAGGCTGTCAAACTTACGGCTTTGGTGTTGGTGTCCAATTCTTGCGTCAAACATCAAATTGAGTGAGTACGATGTGGTAAAACTAGGTTACTTCCAAATTTATATTTCCACAGCGTGGAACATATTAAAATGTGGTGACTTAATTATAATATACAGCTTAACCAAACTCATATCCGTGAGATGAGTAGATCAAGAGAGTCCACACCAGGAGTGACAAAGACGGATCGTAATAGTTGGGCAGTAGATTCAGACATAGAATGAGCTCCAGTGCTGGTCTGGCAATATTGCCGTTGCGCATGTAAAGTTCGCGGACAAAATGAATTTGTGACTTTCCATGATTTGTCTTCAATATTTTCTAATTTCCTATTTCCCGTTTACGTGGGCATAATTTTAAGCTCCCCAGAGAAAACCTATGTACTTATAACTTGTAGACAGTATTTTATTCCCGATCGTGTTTTTTACCCATGGAACACCTACCTACAGAGATAGTAAATGCTTTCTCACTACAAAGTAAAAGTAAAATCGATGAAGACTTTTTTGTAATTTGTATCTGCATCTGCCATTTTTTTATGTTCGTGTTGCCCGTAATTTTAACTAAATCCCATAGTATTTTATACAGTTTTTCTAATTTATTATTTTTTTATTGTTTCTTACAATTCTGGTATAGACTTCACCCGGCATATCGCACATAGCGACTCGCCTTAACACAAGACCGCGATTTTTCCCGAAGGAGACATGCCTGCGCATCTCAACGCTTCGAGTGTACAATCGAGAGGTCATCTTGATCGCACACATCCCTCCTAATTACCTGAAATATCTTCTCGAATCCCTGCATGTCGTTATTCTGAAAGGCGGATATCAGGTCCGTCATCGCCTTTATCTCGGAATCGTTCTTGTACGGCTTCGCCTCCTGGGAGTCGAACGGATTTATGGCCGACTTCAATAGCATGCTCGTCAGAATGAGGTACTTGAGGCAGTTGATCCTCCTAGGGTTCCCGGCCTCGTCGTAGTTCTTGAAGGCCTCGAAGAAGTCCGTGTACGCCTTCTCGTAGTCCCCGGAGCGTAGGTGCATTTTTCCGCCGCACTCTCTGATCACGCTCATTATCAGGGGGTGGGGTATCGCGGAACGCACCCTCAGGCTGCGCTCGTACAGGTCCTTGAGTTGCTTGTGGTTCTTTTGCTCGGTGTACATCTGTATCTCCAACGCGTAGATCTCCAGCAGCTGGGTGCCTGGAAATTTCAAATGCGACTGGGTCTTATTGTCAGATACATTTGCTAATTTAAGTTACTCTTCGCATATACCGAGGAGGAAACCGCGGGAGTAATTTGGTGTACAAGCTTGAGTAAATTACACGAAAGCGCGTAATTATTATAATGTTTGGTAAAAATGTAGTCCGCCATCAAATTGCAAATAAAGTCGTCTTGTTTGTTTCGTTATACATAATCTTCAAAGTTTTAGTCTTACTATAACAATTGTAAGCTTTGGAAGTACATATTTTTTATGTTTATTGTTGCCTACAATTAGTTATTTCTTTGTGTTAACACATTAATTAAATAGGCTGACCCCCCCGTATCTACGACACTGACAATTTTATTGCAAAGCTATTGGCATATTTTTCTATCTACAAAATAGTTGCTGTATCAAATTTTGTGGAACTGTCATTATGGGTTTTTAAAATATTAGAAATAACTAATTTAAAACAAAATATTTCGCTAACAATGTGTACCTACAGTCTTATCGCCAAGAATGTTTTCAAATGTCTCCACTATTTGCCCAAAAAAATATGATACCGTCACGAATATATGTAGTTCCCAAATAAATGTTCAAAATGAGGTTGAAACGTTCACCAGTCGCTAGATGGAGTTATTTTAAGGGAAACAGTTTCTGATATATTTAATTCCTTATATTTAAAAGATTTTAATAAATCAAATGTTTACAATACATTCAGATAAGTGAACATACCCATAACTTTTTAATTTGGCAACTGAAAAGTTTTTGAATCAAGATTCTTAATTATGAAATGAACGAAAACGCCTTTTATTTATTCTAGGCAACTTGAACACGACTTTATAGCATTGATCGGAGGTTTCCGCTTTCAGATCGCACTCACAGTACATCAACGCCATCTTTCGAGATTAAATGTAACTTTATAGCTTTAGTTAACTTTTACGACGTGAACGCGTGTTATTGAAAATCTAAAAATAAGATAAGTTTTAAACTTAAGTTGGTTTATTGCCCTCAGAAAGATAGGTAGGTATACATAAATTTTCATTTCGGAATTTAAATTTCTTCAAAATGATTAAATATTGTCCCAGTTATTTTCGTACATTATTCAAGAACAGTCTGTGTAATACACGTCTAAAAAGAACTTACCTTTGTGTGGGTCTATCTCATGGCAATTTGGGTTGCACGTTTGTTTCAGCTGTCGAATAATATTCGCTAATTTCGAAAATTCCCCGCGTTCCAAATAGACTTTACCCAGTTTTGTGTTCGTTTTGAACCACAACCTATCATTTTTGGCGTTTTTCAGGGCCTCTAGCGTAGTTTCATAGAAATTCTGTAACATCGCTATGTCTTTAGACGTCGATGTATAATCTAAGATCGAATTTATCGACTTCTCGCCGTGATTTTTAGTCACCGCGTTGTTGATGTATCCGAGAAGTTCCTTGTATTTCAACATAGTCTCCTTGTAGTTTTTCAATTGGAAATTAATCTTCACTAGTTGTTTGAGAGCTTTGAAGCCCCACTCTCCTTTTGGCTCGCCCTGTAGATCCAAAACTTTCTGAAAGGCCGCGATGGAATTCTCCAAGTTTTCTTCTTTCAGCGTTTTGGCGAGGTAGTATTGATTTTCTAGGTCGACGTCTGGCTCCGAAGTGCTCTCTTCGGAGTATTCAAGGCCGTAGTCGCCGTAGTCTTCGTCGTCGTCGTAAAAGAAGTCTCCCATTGTAGAAGTTAATTTACTTTTTCACTTAACTACATCAAATAAGTCACAGTACGATGTATTTAATTAATTGGAGTTGGAATATAAGAATATAAAATTGGACTTACTAGCGATTTTGTCAACAACCGTGGTGTTTCTGACAAACTGTTGACATAACCTTAATTTTGCAGTACATTCGCGTTGAGCTTCGAGCAACACACAGCACACTGAGCAACTAACTATACTATGTGCTATGTGGGAGTAAAGTCGCAATCGGGAACGAAAAATGAATTGTAGTGGACTAGTCAAATGACCAAAGATTTATATTCCTTTTTAAAATATGAGAATAAGGCGACATAAGTATGTGTCCTCCTAAAGTCGTGCACAAATTCATTATTAGGTAAACAAAAGAAATTATTAAAAATTCCAGAAACAGGTCGATTTTTGAATTTAATTTACTATTTTTTCAAATAATAATTTAATATACAGGGTGACCTATGTTCGAGTAATGAAGTCATCACAATTTTTTTTAAATGGAACCTCACTTTTTTCCAATTTTCGGATTGCCCTAACTGAGCTGATTCCAAAAATATACCACAAGTTGTTTCTAATTGTTACAGGGAGGACAACAATACCCAAATTATTTACAAATACTAAATTTATTTACAAATAAATAAACGTACTAAAAATTGAATCAAATCACCAGAAACACCTAAATTAAATGTTCAAATTGTTGACCATTTACTGCCAAACAATGGGCCAGATGGGAAGTAAATTCTTGCTGTACATTCCCAATGACTTCAGGCGGGATCGCTCGAACTTCTTGCCGAATTTGTTCCTTCAGATCGTTAATACCGTTTGGTTTATTGACGTATATTTTGCCTTTTACATAACCCCAAAGAAAAAAGGCGAGCGGTGTTAAATCTGGTGATTTGGCGGGCCATTCCTTAGGTCCTCTTCTGCCAATCCACCGATGAGGAAACACGTCATCTAAATAGCGGCGAACAGCGCTGGCATAGTGCGGTGGTGCACCATCTTGCTGAAAACAAATGGTTTCATTGGGCAAATATGGATCTTCTTCATTTGGAAATAGAACACTCAAGGAAGGAACTAAATAGAACTGAAGAAATTCCAAATATCTTGCACCATCTAAATTTCCTTCAAAGAAATACGGTCCCAAAATTCGATTACCAACTATTCCGGCAAAAACATTGACCTTTTGGGGATGCTGAGTGTATGCTTCCATCATCCAATGTGGATTGCGATCTGACCAGTACCGACAATTCTGTTTATTGACGGTGCCGTTCAAATAAAAAGAAGCATCGTCGGAGAAAATTATGCGTTTCACAAAACCCGGATCTGCCTGACATTCTTCCATCATCATTTCTCAAAATTCTGTGCGTCTGTCGAAATCATCGTCACATAATTCTTGTACTAAGTGGACTTTGTAGGGATGATACTTGTTTCTGTGAAGAAGTCTACTCAATGTACTTTCACTCATTCCTAAATTATCTGCTACGACTCTCAGACTGGATTGCGGGTTTTCATGAATGGTCAAAAGGGCTTGTAATTGCACTTCTTCATCTACAGTCGGTCGGCCAGATCTGGGCATATCTTTAACATGACCATGATTTCGAAACTTTGCTTCAGTTCGGTTAACCGTGGATCGATTTATTGGTGGACGATTGGGATGAATTTCATTAAACAAAACACAAACTTCTTCATGAGTTCGAATTCTATCACCATATCCGATCATCATAAGAATTTCAATCCGTTCGGTTTCACTTAGAATCATGTTTTTTAATTAATTAAAAAATACTCAATATTTTAAGGAAGAATCATTCAAAATGGATTTACTTGTACAATCTTAACAAACTATTTAAAAATGATTGCCTGCAAGAAATACACGAGCACGTTCTATCATTCAAATAAAATTAAAAAAGCATCAAAGAAATTATAGCAAAAAATAAATGACATTTTAAAATGATATGTGGTGATTTGATTCAATTTTTAGTACGTTTATTTATTTGTGAATAAATTTAGTATTTGTAAATAATTTGGATATTGTTTTCCTCCCTGTAACAATTAGAAGCAAGTTGTGGTATATTTTTGGAATCAGCTCAGTTAGGGCAATACGAAAATTGAAAAAAAAGTGGGGTGTTCCATTAAAAAGAAATTGTGATGACGTCATTACTCGAACATAGGTCACCCTGTATATTAAATTATTATTTGAAAAAATAGTAAATTAAATTCAAAAATAGAAAGGTTTCGGGAATTTTTATTAATTTCTTTTGTTTACCTAATAATGAATTTGTGCACGACTTTAGGGGGATACTGTATAGCACAAAGGCTAAGGCCAAGAAGACTAAAGAAGAGCATAGAGAAATACAAAATTTCTTGAAAATAAATAAGACAGTTGCTACACCATGCTATAATTTTTCAGAAAAATATAATAAGCGTAGCTCATATCTACAGACATCTTCAATTGCGACGAGAATCCAAATTCATGGAAAAAAATTAATCTTTCTCTTTCAAATAATATAATTTTCGTTTCTCGTAGTTTTCTTCTAATATTATCACTATTTTCCCCCAAAATTTGGCTGAACCAAGTAAACAATGTTTACAGGGTGTTTAGAAAAACCTGCAAGAAGCGATTTTTTGCCAAGATTGGGAGGAGGGTTGTTTATATAAATATATTTCCAAAAATTTTCTTTCTCAGTTGGAGAAACAGAAAAATGAAATTTGAGACGTTACTTCATCTTATCGAAGCCCTTCGTGCACCGATATTTTTAATCATCTGCGACCCACCAAAGGGCCTGAAAATTACAACCCTTGATGGTTTTTTTCATTGTATCTTTTTAAGGAAACTTTTTTTTAGTGAAAAGTTTCTTTTTTTTACAATGTATTAGTCATATATACCAATTGTTTAAGATGTCCCCAGAGAAAGAAATCAAGGGGATGATTTGGGCGCCAACCAAACGAAAATAAGCTGGAGTATTTGAATGTATGTTGCACCACCACACGTATTTCTTTGTGTATCCCCCGGACCACCCCTACGTTACGACACTGTGAGGCAATCAAGTCGCAGACTAGGCGGGCGATACACTAATTTAATTAATGCAACAAATATGACCTTGCTGGCGTAATTGCCCATTGTTGAATATGTATTTTGCCCGTTTACCCAGATTGCTAAACTAGAAACGGCAGACCGAAAAAATGACTCGACACGTAATCGCCTTTTATTCGCAACAGCTTCTATGCCATTTCTGTGTCATGGGAACCAAACTAGTAGATGAAGTGGGCGGGCACGAAGGTATATCTTTTATGATATGCATGTGTAGCGTACCTACTAACGTTTTGCGGCGAGATATTCTTTGGTACAACGTTCAGCCTCTGGCTGTAGAGTAGTCTAGCGGTTGACCCGCGTTCATTTGAAACGTGCTAAATTATATAATCAGTTAGCAGAGACTTTTTTGTTGAAAAATTAATTTGTGTTATTTATATTTTTTTATAGAAAGACTGAAATTAATTTGTTAAGGTGTTAACTTTTCAGCTTCTGTTATTGTCTGACTCCTCTCAATATTTTTGCGGCTTTGTTCGTACAAATATTAAAATTAAACTGCCTTATGCTATTGTCACAACTTGCAATAAAGTTCAAAATGCAAACAAATAACGTTGTTTAGAGTTGAGAATAAATAGTGTTTGGTTCTGTTGTAAAATAGAGGACTTTGAACTTTTATCTAACTTAAAGAAATAGCTTCTAGAAGCTGAAATACACGTTAAGCTTTATTTGGCGCTTTTAATTGAAATTTCTCGTTAATAGTTTCAGATTAGCTTGTAATCAAGTTGATACGATTTCAATAACCACAGATACATATCAAAATTGACTTTTAACATTAGTAAAGGTAAGAAGTTGTTTTTTATTTATTTTAAATTGACACCTGCCTTGTCCTTATCCTTAAAACGTTTGTACTATCCCTCACACCGACATCAGACAATACCCGCGTACTATGCGGCACGTACATTAACCGCGAACTGAAACTTATAGGCAAGTGTGACGCGCAGCCTCACTGTGGTGGGGACTAGTGCCCAATTTGCTTCATACGACGAGCCGCCACTGGTAGAATAAAATGTCTAGAAAATTATTCCAGGATCTTAAGCATTCTGCAGCTGAAAATTGAGGTGCACTGCGTGTCTAATAATTTCTAAATGAAATGGCTCCAGTTTCATAACAGGGATCAGATTTATGTTCATTGGCTCAGTTTGAAGGTGAGCTTTTGTTCTTTTTCATTTATTTTCGTACTGTTAAAAGCTGTTTCGATTTCTGTTCATTACTCAGAGCATTACTGCAGCAGTTGGAATAACGATTTATTTCAACCGTGTGAAAATTATATTATGGAAAATATTGTCGGTAGTATGTAATACAATAGTTCTTTGTTAGCGCTAATTACTTAGTGCTATATAAGCTTTCTGGCGGTACTTATTACTTTAATGCAGAAACAACATCAAAGTCAATAATTACTTTTTTTAGATGTGAAGGATTGGAACTTGGTAAAGATATCTCATTGAAGTGCAATGTTAAGGTGATAGTACCTATAATTAGAAACCACAATATTTATTATAGGTTGTAGCTCACGACTTCAGCTTATGAACTAATCGTAAAAAAATCAATTAGCGATCGTGGAGATAATCAGCATTATTAATTTCAGATTAAAAAAGTTTGTAAGATATAATTCAAAGGTGAATCATTATCGAGTTGCACAAACATCGCTTTTAATTACTAGTCATTGTTAGTTTGTAGTCGCCAATTTTTTTATATAATTAAAACGTATCATTTTATATTATTCTTCAGTAGATACCTGGAATGATATGAAATATTTTACAATACAGGGTGATTCATTAATAATGGGACAGAGCTTAAGGGCATGTTGCTGACCTCAAGAGCGATTAAGCCAAATATGCATTATCCGAATGTTGCTCCTTTTCGATCTACAGGGTGTTAAAGTTGAAAAAATATTTTGGATTTTTTAAATATCTTGAGCATCTATGAACGGATTGTCTTGAAAGTTTGTACACCTATGTTTTCTGAGGTGGTAATTACAGAAATGGTAACTATTTTGCAATCGCATCTAGGATGTAGTGTTCCGTCGGAGTAAACATATGTCAAACTTTTTTGTCCTTCAAAAATCTGAATTTCCAATAAGAAATTATT